TTTCACTTGAAAAAATATATACCTGTTCATGGAACACCAGGTTGTGTACAGAGAAGGCTATTTATCGAGGGGAAGATTCGGTGCGTTGCACTCGATCGAGGACGGTGCCTGCTTGGAATCGTAGTACAACTCTAGTAGTAGTACTAGTAAGCTGCACCGGTCACACTCACACCTAGTACACCGCTACATTACGTGCGTATGGGAGTGTGGCCACCCACATCCACCTGTCATCTGCATCGCCCCTTGGAATTGTTGATACCAATCCATCCACCGCTCGCCTCACCTGTTCGTCACGACCTCACGCCTGACTCTTTAACCTGGAACCGCCCGTCTGACGAGCTCACCGTCTTTGTAGTTGCAGACAAAAGTCTACGTGACGCACACCCTTATACGGTCATACAGTGATACGTACTGTACGCATTGGTGCAACGCAAACAGGGTGGTTCAGACTTCGGAGCATGATGGGTCACTCGGCCCTTGTTTTTATTTCCCAACTTTTTTTTTCAAACTTCTAACTTTTTTTATCACATCAAAATTTTTCAACACATATACTTTCAACCTTTTTAAATAGACTTTCAATTTTAATCAAACTTTTAATTTTAGCATAAAACTAAACACACCCTCTGACTTTTAACTTGAGATTTTGAGAACTCGAACGCATTAGCAGGTACTGTACTTGATATAGCAATGTACTACTCCAGCATGCTGACTCGGCGCCGACACCGGCGACGTGTGACACGTCTTGATGGACAGTATAGCGACCGGGAGTCTTGATCTTTTTCTGGAACAAGTGGCTCTCAGCATGTAGGCTCTACTGCGGCCGTGTTTACTTCCATGGATATAAATTTTTAAAGTATACGGACACAAATTTAAAGTATTAAACACAGACTAATAACAAAACAAATTTCAGGTTATGTCTGTAAACTGCGAGACAAATTTATTAAGCCTAATTAATCTGTTATTAACAAATGTTTACTGTAGCACAACATTGTTAAATTATGGTGCAATTAGACTCAAGAGATTCATCTCGCAATTTACACACGAGCTCTATGTATATGTCTAAATATTTGATGTGATGTTTTTGTTAAAATTTTTTAATTAAACAAGGCCTACTTCTAAAATAGTTACTGTTGAAAGGACCTTGCTTCTGTGCTGTGCAGTGTGCAGTTTCTGGGGAACTTTTCAGGAAAGCGATGGCGTATGTAGCTGTTGCCTTCCCTAAAAAAACGAAGATTCCTACATCGTTTATAAGGGCAATAACAATATATATAATAAAAGTAGTATATAAAACCCACTTATATGAACTTTAACTATTAAAACATTCATAATATATATGGATAGCAAATAGTATTGGAAAGAGAGAAAAGATAGAGACAAATAATATATTTTATTCTCTATGGGCAACCCATATGCTTATGGGTAGCTTTTGCTATGGACTAGTTCCACAATGTTGTTAGGTGGCTGAAACAAATATTTTATTACTTATGGACCACTTTTAGACTACATCGTGGATGCCCTAATTAAGTAAAATTAGCAGGTACCTCGTAAATTAACTTCTAGGTTACCTATTGATTTATATATAAATCGGTTAATGGGTCGACCCACCTACATCTCTAAATACATGGGTTATCTTTATTTAATCTATAAGCGGGCTCGTGGGTTGACCCGCTAGCATCCCTAGTTCCAGATAAATTAATCGTTCATCTCGCTGGTTGTCTCAATGTCTTTGGGCCCGACTATGTGAGTGGCCCTTGTACGGGTAGCTGTCTTTTCCCTAGCTATTGTCACTAGCAAGTGGGCTCGTAGCTTTACCCATTCTACCATAGGTGTACATGCCCTTACTCAAATCCATGGGCTTGTTTGGATTTATGCTAATTTTTGTTCTTCTAAATTGTTGGTAACTTTAATACTAGTATTATAAGGATGTTTGTTTGATGCTAAATTTTATCCACACTAGTACAAATGATACTATAACAAATTTTATAACAAATTTGGTAGTTTCAAAACTTATCAGGATTTTGGTACTACCAATATGTTGGTAGGGTGAAAATTGTCATCAAAATAAATTAGCCCCAAATTTCTCTATCTCCATGGATCACATGGGAGGAAGATGGTAGTGTGAATCAAGAGCAAACAAAAAGGATCATGCTCTATAGGTTCTTTATTAATCTATCGTATGTACTGCCGGTGACCCCATGACCTATCCCAAAACATATAAATATATTCTCGTCCCCACGTAAAAGAACATTTGCATATCCAGCGTTACGGTGTAAGGTCATATTGCTCTTTTTTGAGAGGAAAATAGCTTTCCATTAACTTAAGGACTCAGCATAATCGTTGGCCACCAAATTCTCCATGCCCGAAGACGTACCATCCCATTGCAATTGCATGACGTTATTATGAGGACACTCACAAGTTACAACCTAAAATTTCTAAAGCGTGAGCTACTTTATTCCATTCTCGGGGAGCTAAAGGTCATATTGTTTGGTGCGTAACATCCCCTCGCATAGACAATGGGAGATGATTTGCTTCTGGAATTAACTAATCACAGCTTCACAAGAACCAAACAAGCAACACTGTCAAACCTAGGGAGGGACTTATGTTTTTAAGAGAGAGGCTAAAGTTTAGCCCCTCTCTCCCAAACACCCCCTTAGCAGCAACACCGTATCATGCCATCAGCAAGCGGTCGCAAAAGTCAGAGCACGTGTGCCGTGTGCTAAAAATGGAACCGTGACTTCGCCGCGGGACCGTGGGTCCAAATGTTGCTAACAAAGAGGCAAGTGTTAGAGGTCAATATCGATCGGCCATCCCCTTATTTGTTTCGATATACACATATTCATACTACAGGATAAGGCTCGCAAGTCGCAACGAATTTGTGACGTGGATTTGACAAAAACGCCTTTGCTAGCTTCTCTATAAAATCGATTATTATATAGGCTCGAACGAAGCAAAAACACGGCGATGAATTTGCCCACGCAGATCGCATGGCCGTGTGCCCGCGTGCTCCTATGTGAGAACAAGTTTAATAATAATATAGCTAACTACTAGCTCCAATTCATTTATAATCAATTTAGCAGCTCATTCATATAATAGTTATATACTACACTATTAATACATGGTCCCACCTGTTATACACACAATACGTCTTAGAGTCTATGCTAAAGGTGGCTACAAATCTGTAGCCCGCTGTTTTTCTCTCTCCTTATTTATTTTTTTAAAATATATTTACAGCTGGCTTATAGCCTACTATTACTGTAACTGCTCTGAAGATAATCAAATCCCCAACCGCCCGCACCACGCGTGTGAGCCGCGCGGTAGACGGCGGCCAGCGCGGACGCGAGTCGCCGCTGCCACCTCCACACGGGATCCGCCGTGGCCGGCCGCGGGCCGTACAGGTGGCGCTCGCTGATAGGTGCAGTGCGATGGGTCGGTTGTTGCCTTTTCATGGAATAGACCCTGGCTTCTGAAAGAATGGAGCGTGTGCCCCTTGGCTCGGCCAGCCTGGAATATATGGATTTTTTTTCATTAGCTGGTTTATTATTTTGTAACGTGGGGTACTCGACTCTGCTATATGGATCGATATTATGGTTTTTGTCCAAAAATGTTATGGGTAAGGACAACTAGTTTGGTTTCTAATTTTGATCCCTGGTCACTTTAGTCCTTATTGCTCACTTTAAATTGATAATATTTATCGTTTTGTATAAGGATATAGTCTGAAAAAAATTAAAACGACTTATAATATGAAATAGAGAGAATAAGTGCAATAGCTAGCCTGGTTGTAGGGACGGGAGGGCAGATGAGGAGCCTGGTTGTAGTACTAATTGTGAGGAGTTGACAATAGACATGTGGTTTGGTTTGTGAGTGACTTAAACTCGTGAAGGTAACAATTCCATCCAATGTTATTCCGGTCACCTTACTTGTTTGAAATGATAAGTCGGTGGAAAATAAAGGGAAGATGAAATTGTATAGCAAAGATGCTATATGTCAAAATGGAGTAAACTTTGTGAAAAATAAGGACAACCAAGGAGAAGCTTGGTTATCAAATATAATTATAAGAAATTGTGAGCGCATTAAAAAATTAAACACAAGATCTTAAGATTAAAGTCACACACCTCTTGCAACTATACTATGGATGTGTTCGCTAGTTCCGGTTAGGAACCCATGTCCCACACACAGAAAACGGAGCGGCCCATTAGAGCGTGATTAATTAAGTATTAGCAAAAAATATTCAAAAATAGATTAATTTGATTTTTTAAAACAACTTTCATATAGAATTTTTTTGGAAAAAAACAAGAGAGGGGAGTTGGAAACCTGGGGAAAGAACACAACCTATATAGTGCATCTCTTTAGACTCTATTAAGGTAAATCAACAACTTCCGTCAAAAATTAACTAGTTACTTTGTTTAATTGATATAATTCTATTTACAGCTATATATTAAGAGTACTCGGCAGTTGAAATTTAATGAAGTTTAGTCTTATATTTTAAAATGTATTTGTATACCGTATAGTCAGAAATATTTTTAACCGATCAATAGTAGAAATTTAGTCTTGGAAACCTTATGAAATAGGGTGAAAACGGTCTGATTCGGTAGCACTTTTTCGGAAACGATGCTCGATCGGCTGGTAATTGACCATATTTATCATTTAAACTACTCAATATCGACATTAATACGATGTATAAAGAAATTAGAAAAAACAAAATATAAAAATAGACAAAAAGGTACCCCTTAAACGGAACGGCGTCCGGTCGATCGGGAATTTCTGTGACAGTTTTCACCCCTTGAAATATGTATACCGTATATCGTAAACCGTACAAGAAAAAAAGAAGTTGCTGACGACCCAGTGACTTTGTAACCTGTGAGACTTCCAAGCTAAGCAACAAAAATACGCTAGGTCAACAGTTGTTTGACAAGGGAGGCCCTGGTATAGAACGTAGATAAAACTTGGAGGGGGCATCTACAAAATCCCGGCGCAGCGGACTCTATTTATACGCGGCCCCGCTCCTTGATCCCCGAGGGTGAATCGTAGCGATAGCGGATCAGATTGGAGGAAAACTCGCTAGTACGCTTGTTACTTGCAACTCTTTCTCTAATCTTGCTTCGGAAAGATATCCAAATCGAAGAAAAAGAAAAAAAAATTAGAAAGCGTGATTAGCCATTCCTCTTCTCATCTCTAGCCACTTCGCTTCAGCTTTTCTTCTTTCTTGATCGCGAGCAAAAAGGGAGAGAGAAAAAAAAACGGTAAAAGGACGTGATTAGCAAGGATGGTGGCGATCGAGAACCAGAGCCAGGGCCAGCGGGCGGCGGAGGCGGCGGCGCAGCCACGGATCCCCAGGGAGGCGCGGCGGCTACTGCACGAGATGGCGGCGTCGTGGGCGGACGTTGCCGACTGCCGGGCGCTGCAGGTGATTCCGCTCAAGGGCGCCATGACCAACGAGGTGTACCAGGTGCGCTGGCTCAACGGCGCCCCGGCCACCGCCGACGGCGGCGAGGTGGAGGCGGAGGCGGCCGCAAGGGAGAGGGAGGTGAGGAAGGTCCTCGTGCGGATATACGGCGACGGCGTGGAGCTCTTCTTCGACCGCGAGGACGAGGTGCGCACCTTCGAGTGCATGTCTCGCCATGGCCAAGGCCCCCGCCTCCTCGGCCGGTTCACCAACGGCCGCGTCGAGGAGTTCATCCACGCAAGGGTAGGTGCACATGAATATGATATGATTCCGCGCTGCTGTAGCCAAACTGTCTAGCCTTCCTCGCGCCACGGATTGTGTTTTCTCCTCCCGTTTTTTCCCTTTAGTTTTCCTCTGTTTATCTTCGACTCTCTTGAACTATTAAATTGGGTAGGGATTTTTAGGGGATTTTGGTGGTACCTTTTGTGCTTTGGACGAATAAATCTTTGTTGATTTTACCGCGTTAGTGAAAAGTTATTTTCCTAAGTTTATTAGCACCAAAATTAGGCAGATTTTGGAGTTTGTTCTTGCATACTGATAATTTTTTTAGCTGAACTCGTAGCAATTTGGGCTTTAACGTTCTTCTTGATACTTTAAAGATTCTACAGGCACTATTCCGACTTATTTATTGCAGTCTGGTTATCGTTTTCTAAAAGGTTCTGCCGTGGGAATCTGCAATTCCTTAGACCTTTCTTATCTATCAGTTCATAAAATCTCTCTTCATGCCCTAGTCAAATATCTCTCCTACTTAACAGGAATTGTTTATGCCCACACCAATTATCTCCCAAAATTATTTGCCTCTGTGGCATGAGGCGTACAATCTTATTTTTAAGGGTATTGTCAACAGCTGGAATTTAGTTTTCTTTGCACTCTTTCCTGTATTGTCAGTAAAATTGTGATACAAAGTCAATAGTCGGTGAAGCTATTAATAACTCGTTTGAAAGATTTTTTTTTCTTTCGTTTGAATTAGTCAGCTAGAATTGATAATTGTCCATTCGACAACAGGAGATGTCTCTTTCAGAGAAGCTGTTGATTGAAAACAATTTATTGGACTTGAGAAAAGCAAGATAGCTGACTAAACTGGTGTAAAGTAAGGACTGAATGGAGTAAATCTAGACCATACATGGTCTATTTCTCTTGCGGAATCTCTTTTAGAAAGTGAATTAGGCTATAGCTGTTAAATTGCGAGTCGAAGCACTTTCTGGATTCTTCATTTTGCTTTAATACATGTGTCACTCTCATAAAAGGGATATCTTGTGTTGTTTTCTTGGACGAACAAAAGGAAAAAAAGAACGAAATTTCGTGCAATACTCCTACTATCAGATTTTTCTCCTCAAGTTTTCTGGTGATAATGAAATGTTATCACGATGGAATAACTGTCCAACCTGTTACGTCAGCAACTCAAGCATATACAAAAATTAATGCAATTACTTTCTTTCAGACACTATCTGCAGCAGACCTTCGTGATCCTGAAATTTCAGCTCTGGTGGCGTCAAAACTGAGGGAATTCCACAACCTTGACATGCCTGGCCCGAAATCTGTACTCATTTGGGACCGACTGAAGTAAGAGCATTTTCTCAGATAAATATACACTTGGCACTTTTAATAAGTATATAAAACTAAACCTGGCCGTGCTTTTTCTAGAAACTGGCTCAAAACTGCAAGGAACCTGTGCTCATCTGATGAATCCAAGAAATTTCGGCTGGGTAGCCTGGAGAACGAGATTGCTGCATTGGAGAAAGAATTTTCAGGGGATTACCACGGGATTGGTTTTTGCCACAACGATCTTCAGTATGGCAACATCATGATTGATGAAGACACCAACATGTTGACTATCATCGTGAGTAATATTCATTCACAATAATGTCCCTGTGATCATATTTGTTTTTTGCTGCATTTTTTTTGCGTGTATCTATTATGTGCAAATGTGAAATGTAGAAGAGGCTATTGAACGTAGGTTGTAGAACTTTTAAGTTTCTTCTCTCATGTGATCATCTGTTGAACAACAAGCGATATGGGATAGTTGGAACTGCCGTATCATTTTCACTAGTTGGAATAGCGCCAGCCCTTTTCCCTTTCATACAACTTGTTTTTTGTTTGTTGCGTTCCCTTCCCCCTCGACATTTTAAATTGTCACGGCTCTGCTAAAAAACAACATAGTTTTGGTTTTGGACACTACCTACCTTATGGAGGACTGATGCTTTGCTCCTTTTTTTTTCCCTTCTGTATACCAATTTGTCACGACTGTTTCTTAAGGAAATCTGATTCCTTTTTCTTTACATATATGACAAGCCCCAATTAATTGTTGGCAATTTGATCCTTTCTGTTCTTCTCATATATATACAGGATTATGAATATGCCAGCTTCAATCCAGTTGCGTATGACATCGCTAATCATTTCTGCGAGATGGCAGCAGACTATCATTCAGAGAAGCCACATAGACTGGACTACAGTAAATATCCAGGTACCCAAAAATACTACCAATGCGCTGTTTTGCTTATGTTTTGGTACTTAAATCAGTTTACACAATCTTGGTCCACCTTGCTTATTTGCTATTCTACATGTGGCAGACACTGATGAGCAGAAGCGTTTTGTGAAGACGTACCTAAGCAATTCTGGTAAGTGCAAATTCATTTCTCGTTTCATTATCTGAAGATTTCTTTGGCACTACCATGATTATTTGACTGCAACCATTCTTTTTGGAGGAATATTTCTGTTACAAATTCGAATTCAGCTTCCATTGAATACTACTTTTTTCACAATAACTAGCTAAGATATGCTCCTAATTTTGTTTAGTAAGTGAAGAACCTGATGCGGAAGAGGTGGAGAACCTTCTCCAAAGCATTGAGAAATACACGCTCGCCAGTCATCTAGTTTGGGGCCTCTGGGGAATAATATCGGTATGTTCATATTTCTGGATGTCCATTGCCTGTTTCTTTTTTCAAAAGAACTATATGAATCCATTCTGTCACTGTAAACCTGTGCTATTATCTGACCTCTATCTTCTGCAGGATCATGTCAATGATATTGACTTCGACTACAAGGAGTATGCAAGGCAGAGATTCGAGCAGTATTGGCAGAAGAAGCAAGCACTTTTAACTTCATGAATTGCCTGAAGGCGTCAGGTCGTACCTGAAGGCCTGTGCTGCACATAACTTGTGCGATGTTACTGACACATAACTCCCTGTGAAAAGAAGAAAGATGAAGATGATAATGAAGAAGAAACCCTTTCGGGATCAGGAGTTCTCATCCCGAAATTTCCGTAAGGTTCAGCTTCAGGAGGAAGCTGTGGGCTTTGGTTGCTTTGTTTATAGTCTGAAAGGCAGCGAAGAAAAAGCCCCTGGTTGCGTGTTTGTTTGCTCGACAAACTAGAGGCCGCTTGTGGGGCTAGTAGTGCCGTCGTGTTTCATGTGTATGTATACCTAAATATATGTTACATAATGGATCTTGCTTTCGTCGACTCGAGAGTCGAGACAGTGCCTCCATTTAGTCCATATTGTACTATGCTTACATGACTGCCCTGTTGAAGAAATAGCCTATACAGCTGCACTGTTATTTTGGTTGTTGATACTACCTGATAATAATATGGCGTGTACCAAAGCTTTAACGTGGCCATGTTCAGCAGTTCAGGTCATCTTCGTTGCTCTCTGGTGCAGACGAGCTACGAGGTATGAGCTGCCTGATGTTGGTGATACCTGACGAAAAATCCGTCCGAACGGCTGTGATGGATATCAGCTTTCGCTGCCTCTTCCTCCTGACTTTGTTTCATCGGCTCATCGCCATTTCGCCTTTCGTCAATCTCTAACCCTCTCTCCTTTCTCCTTCCCCACGCTGGGCTGCGAAGAGGAAGATCGATGACGCGTGGAATTCCATGACGCGTCGCTTGTGAGCCCGGAACGAGATCTCAATACCCGTTTATGACGGCCCATATAAGTGGAACGGGATTGCCGCTAACAAGCGGCCCATATGTGTTGGCTGGAACACGACGTGCGGCCCAAGTCCGGAGGTGGAATCAGATGGACGTGGTCCATGTGGAGAAGGGCAAAAGTTGCCCAGTCCAGTTTTCGCTGCCCGCAAGGCTCCTGGCGAGGAATAATTCTAGGGTGAAAAGTTTTGGTATATATTATCGGATAGGAAAAAGTACGAATTACCCTCCTGAACTATCGTGGTCGTCCGAATTACCCCCTGAACCATAAAACCGGACATTTTTCATCCCTAACTATGCAAACCGGACGAATTACCCCCTCGACCCAATCTGCGGTGGTTTTAGTTTACATGGCGTACGCGTGGCAGTACAGTCAGCATTCTATTTATTAAAAAAATGTGGGACCCATGTGTCATCCTCTTCCACTCTTCCTCTCTCTCTCACTCTTCTCTCTCTCACTCGCTGCTCACTCTTCCTCTCTATCTCTCTCTCACTGGTCGTCAGCGGCCTTCCTGTCCACCTGCTGCTGCGCGCCACCGCCGGCCGACGCCGCCGAGTAGTTGTCGTCGCCGTTGTTCGCGGCGAACGACGAGTCGGTGATGCGACCGCGATGCCGGCTCGGCGCCGCGGGGCCAGGGCTGTGGGAGTGGGAGCGGGCTGGCGTCCACAGCGGCGTCATCTCGGCGGTGGCCAGCGCCACGGCGGCGGCGTCGTCGTCGTTGAAGAGGTGCCCCGTGTAAGTAAGACGCGACACGGTGACAGTGCAGATGACCGAATCTCTCAGAGCAGCAGAGCAGAGCTGCACTGTGCTGCTAGCTGCTTGGTGCGTCGAGACATAGGATTCCTTTAGGCATTGATGATGGACGGCAGGTTGGCCCCTGCACGGTGCGACGCCGGCGGTTTTCCCGGCCACAAGTTCGTACGCCTGCCTAGCTTTGCCAGCCGCCTCGTTGGGCCGTGGCGGAGGAAGAAGACGTGCTAGCTCGCCTACACACGCCGTCGTCGTCTTCTTTCCTGACAATGGGTAGGAGTAGTATGTGCACTGCTGCTCTGCTAGCACGAATTCTTCCACCGCCGCCGCCGCCGCCCGCCTCCATCCGTCCCCACGCCGAGGGGCGGCCGTTCGTCGTGGCCACGGCCGCCGCCGCCGCCGCTCCGCGTCCCCCGCCTGCCGCTGACCGGCGAGAAAGAGAGAGGAAGAGTGTGAGAAAGAGAGTGAGAGAGAGAGGAGAGAGAGGGGAAAAGTGAGAGAGGAGTATCACATATGGGTCTCATATTTTTTTTATAAATAAAATGCTGACTGGACTGCCACGCGCAAAACCGCTTGGAATTGAATTGAGGGGGGTAATTTGTCCGGTATTGAAAGTTTAGAGTGAACGGTGTCTGGTTTTTGGGTTTAGGGGGGAATTCAGTCGATCGCAATAGTTCAGGGGGTAATTTGTACTTTTTCCTATCGGATATACCGACACATATTTAAAGTATTAAGACCCTGTTTGATTCAGTTTAAGATTATTATAATCTGAATTATTAGGAATAAGCTGAAACAAACAAGTAGATTGTTATGATAGATTATTATAATCTAATAATCTCCTGTGAAGGAGCTTTTCTCAGATTATTGGGTGGCTAAAAACCCACTACCTTAGATGCCTCCAATAATCCAGAGAAACAAACAACTCGCAGCTTATTCTATGCCAGCTTATTATAATCCAGTTTAGAGTAATCTGATTTAATAATCTAGATTACAATAATCTTAAGCTGAAACAAACATGGCCTAAATATAGACTAATAACAAAACAAATTACAGATTATGCCTGTAAACTGTGAGACGAATTTATTAAGCCCAATTAATTTGTCATCAGCAAATGTGTACTATAGCACTATATTGTCAAATAATAGAGCAATTAGGCTTAAAAGATTTGTCTCGTAATTTACACTTAATCTGTGTAATTAGTTTTTGAGTAAATTTCACAAAACTACAGGTGTTTTGCACAATTTATCACAAAACTACATATTTAAGAGCTTGTTTCACAAAACTACATATTTAGTGTCTTTGTTTATCACAAAACTACAGGTATTTTCTACAATCTATCATAAAACTACATATTTAAGAATTTGTTTCACAAAAATATAGATTTAGTGTATTCATTTATCACAGTACTACACATTTAGTGTCTTTATTTATCACAAAACTACAGATTTAGTGTCTCCATTCTCACAAAACTACATGTTTTAGCATTGTTAAAACGTGTAGTTTTGTGAGAATGGAGACATTAAATCTGTAGTTTTGTGATAAACAAAGATATTAAACCTGTAGTTTTGTGAAACTAGTTCTTAAATCTATAGTTTTGTGATAGATTATGCAAAGTATCTGTAGTTTTATGAAATTTACTCTAGTTTTTTTATCTATATTTAATACTCTATGCATGTGTCCAAACATTCGATGTGACAGGGTGAAAAAGTTTTGCGTGGAAACTAAACAGGGCCTTAGAACATCCCCTAATATGGCTTCTTAAAATTTAGAAAAACTCTCCAAATTTCTATTTGACCGGTTTGCTAAAACTAAAGAAAGTAAAGAGTCAAATTTATCGTTTATTCCAACAACCTCTCTTTTTTTATATAATGGAATGAAACATTCTGGCATTTGCTCAAGAGATACAGCCAATTATTACAAGGTTCACACAAAAGTAAACTCATACAGTGAGTATGTAGCCAAAGTAACAAAACCAAAAGTAAAAGCAAACTAATCAAAAACCAAGCAAGGTAAAGACCCCACAACTACTAAATTCTATTGGTGAATCTCCACCCGAAGTTGGCAAAGAGCTACATGATGAGTGGGTTCCACGTGTCATTCTCTTTTTACTTCTTTCTCCCTCCCTCATCTTCCTTCTCCCCACCCGACCCATCCTTCCCCTCTGATGCCTATTCTCAGGTGCTCCAATGTTGGAGAGTGGAGATGGTGGCAGACATGGAGGTGACTAGAAGGCGAGGAGTCGACAACGATGATGGTGATGACGGAGAGGTTGAAGGGGAAGATAAGGCATGGGTTCCAACGATGCCGTCGTGACGACCACTGGAGCTTGGTGGACTGATCTAGAACCTCGACACAGAGGGTTAGGACTCGGTCTCAAGAGGGCAGCTTGGGTCACCACGACCCGCCCTCGGATCCACCCCTGGCCTATCCTCACGCGCCGCTTGCTCCATCCTTGCCTTCACCTCATCGTCACCGCCGTCGCTCATAGGGAGGAGAATAGACACGTAGAGCTCACGCTTAGCAAGCCAGTTATGCCAGGCCAAAACTTGGCTAGTTGGCAAGGTTATGGGAGAGCATTTTTTTTTCAGCAAGCTGGTTAAATTTTGGGTTATAGAGTCATTTGACAACTCTGTTAGGGCCTCTTCGGATTGAGGGATTTTTAGAGGATTTCCAGAGGAATACTGTATATAGGAAATATTTCTTCACATGAATCAACCCAAAGGAAAATCAGAGGAAACATTCCTTTCCTGTGGAATCAATAGAGAAACAAAGGAAAATTTACATCTAGTCCTACCTTATTTTTTCCATTTCCTACGTTTTTCCTCTGTCTATCCAAACACATGTTTATCTACAGAATTCTTGTGTTTTTCAATCCTCTGTTTTACCCATGTATTCCTATCATATTCCTATGATTTTTCTATTCCTACGTTTTTATAATCCCATGGTTCGAATAAGCCCTTAGAGTTGCTTCATAGGATTTGGTCGCAATATTTGTCATGTGCCATGTGTGCCGTGCTGTCACGCAAGGATACGTGATAGCAGGCGCGTGACCTACGACGGGCCAGACCAATCAATCAATCAATTGGAGCGGGCCGCAGGCTGGGACAGGATGCCAAGTGCCAACCTAGCCACGTACTCCGTACGCCTGATCCCACCGGAAGGCCCGCGTTGTGCGTTGTGCGTTGTGCGTTGTGCCTCCCTTTCTCGTGCGCCGCCGGGCTCCGTTCCATCACCCGCGGTGCCAACTGCCAACTGCCGATTGCGGAAGTGGAACCTGGCATCGGCGGCAACGGCACGAGCGCACGAGGCAGCCAGCCGCGCATCCACCGATCCACGGGCCGGGGGACCCCGAGCGTCCGCCCACCCAGCAGGGCACCGCAGGCAGCCGCGACCGCGAGCCTCGTGTAATCGTGCTGGATTTTTCACATTTTGGTCCTTTTGAAAAACTTATTTCGCAAGTAGATCCCTAGAAAAACTTATCCCAAAAATGGTCCTTTTTGGGGCGCCAGAGTGGCTGGCGCCGTCGTTCAACAGGACGGCGCCAGCCTCTTTGGCGCCGTCCCACCGCCGACGTGGCGGGGCGATGCTGAGGTGGCTAGGGGGAGTGCGCCAGAGTGGCTGGCGCCCCCCCCCCCCCGAATTTTTTTATTTTTGTTTTATTTGTTTGATATTTTTTTCACGCTTAGGGACACACAAGAACCAACCATAGAAAAATTGAACTCAAATGGACGTAATATGTGACATGTATAATTTTTCCTCTCCTCTCCTCTCTCCGAACTAGTGCAGAGGAGAGAGATGTGCAACTTTTTTATTTTTATTTTATTTTTTTGATATTTTTTTCACACTTAGGAACTCACAGGAACCAACCACGTAAAAAATAAACTCAAACGGACGAAATATGTGGCATATGGAATTTTCCAAAGCTCCACCGAAAAACTTCTCTCCTCGAAAACACAATCTTGCAAGCGGAATTTGGAGGTTTTAATATCGCCGAACCCAGCAAAGCTGGGGAGAATCGGATGTAACTTTTTCTGTAGATCTCCGTGCATATATTATTTGCCTGATTCCGAGTCCGTATGAGAAAGTTACGCCTATTTTAATAGATGGCATATTTTGTCCGTTTCGGTAGAGTTTTGGAAAATTCTACATGTCACATATTTTGTCCGTTTGAGTTTATTTTTTATACGGTTGGTTCCTATGTTCTCCTAAGTGTGAAAAAAATATCAAAAAAATGAAATAAAAATAAAAAAATTATATCTCTATGTACTGTTTAACTTATATATGTCATTTCATATGGTTATATTTTGAATTAGATTAAGTAATTTCATATAGTGGTAGAGTGTATTATGTTTAACATGCTGATCAAAGGGTTTTACTAAAGGAGTTATGGTCTAATTTTAGTGAAGGTGCAAAGTAGACTAAGTGGTATGCTAGATATTTTCAGACTTAGCTAAGTGGTAGTTCGAGTTTAAATTTTTTTTGTGGTTGGTTGTATCGTGATCCTGAGTGTGAAAAAACATCCGAAAAAATAAAATAAAAATGACACCGTTGCAACTCCATACAGAGAAACAGGAATGGAGGCGGCGGCGCTAGCCTGGGGCGGCGCCAGCATGGCTGGCGCCCTTCTCCTGCCACGTCGGTTCGCGTGCGCCACGGTGGCAGGAGGACGGCGCCAGAGAGGCTGGCGCCGTCCCGTTGGATGACGGCGCCAGCCACTCTGGCGCCCCAAAAAGGACCATTTCTGGGATAAGTTTTTTCAGGAGTCTATTTGCGAAATAAGTTTTTCAAAAGGATCAAAATGTGAAAAATCCAGTGTAATCGTGTTGCCTACTTGCCAGCCCCCACGAGAAAACGTCGTCTTGCCCTATTTCTGGGCGCAGAATCGCAGATAGCGTGGTGCCGTGGTGGCACAGGGCAGGCACATCAAGTCATCGAGGAGGTCAAGTCATCAAAGACAGAGTCCAGCTCGCTCTCCTCCATCCAACGGGGGAGGTTGACTGATCGCCCTTGTCCAGGTCCAGGCTGCAGTGTGCCATCGGAGCTACTACGCAGCTTCACACTCAGCAGTCAGCACATGTAAGTTCACAAAACTTGCAGCCTTCTGAAGCAAAAACTACACCGTACTCCCTCCGTCCCATAAAAAATTAACCTAATGCTAAATGTAGCACATCCTAGTACTACGAATCTGGACATACCTCTGTCCAGATTTATTGTACTAGAATATGTGTTCAGTTTTAGTTTTAGATTCGTTTTTCTCTGGACGAAGGGAGTATGTCCATATATCAGGGTCAAGCAATCCTAATAACTGAACTAAACTGCACATAGATTTTAATATTTTACTTGCACTGTTTGATCACTTAAAAAATTGTGCAAATATAAAAATGAAAAGTTGTGCTTAAGGTATTTTGGATAATAAAGTAAGTCAAAAAAAATAAATAATAATTCTAATATTTTTTAAATAAGACGAATGGTCAAACAGTACAAGCAAAATATCAAAGATCCCTTATATTAGGAGACGGAGAGAGTACTAATTAATGTACACTGGTTTGCTTCCTTACTGGTAGCAATAGATTCAAAACTGCACATAGGAGTATAGGTCAAACCCCAACTGAACTGCACAATCGGTCTGCCTAGGAATCTACAGTATTCAAATGTTTAATTACAAAATCAGATCGTCACGGAGGCCATTATTGCGTACAAACTCCTCATAGTCAGAAGAGGCACACAAGAGTAAAGCTAAAAAAAAAAAAACATGCCACGCCCTGGTCTCCAAATACAGAGTGTGGAAGGAATGTACATGATGGCCGATGCTAATTGCGAGTAGGATGGATACTGGAAATAGCGGATGAAATGTGAGAACAATAATTCCTCGGAGACTTCAGAAAAGCATCGCAATTCATTACATAAATTCCCCGATGTACTTGGTGCTCATCCTAGTCAAAAGCTAAAGATTCCAGAAGTGCTCTCTTCCTCAAATGAGAATTGGTCCTCAACCTCTGCATCGGTGAAGGTAAGAGCTCTCTGCAACTTTTTGGGACAGAAAACCTCAACATCGGAAGTGTACACAGCTGTCACAGGGCGGTGATCGGATAGCCTGATATCAACTGTCCTGTAGGCCTGCAGCCTCATTCCCTTGCCAAAGGAAAGAATTCGGTCACACCTACAAAGTTAAACAATATTTTTTTTTGTTAGCACGCATCGCTCATCGCAACTTAGAGATTTCCTCATACACAACCTCAATTCTTACAATACCTCTTATTAAATAGTAGTAATGAGGTGATTAATCGTGAGTTATGAGGACCAATTCTTTCCTCTTACACAATACCTCTTACAATACCTCTTACACCTTCATGAGTTATGAGGTGATTAATCGTGTAAACAACGAGGAAAAATGTTACTACCTCCGTCCCATTCTAGGTTGTTTAGCATGTATTAGGGTTAGAAAAAAAATACTACAATACCTCTTATTAAATAGTAGTAATGTATAGGTGGATCTGAGATTATAGTTGAGGGGTAGAATGGTGAGAAATTTGAATTGTAAGTGGTTGATGTCACAAGTAATACTTCAAAGTGATAACTATTTTAGGACAACTTTTGAATGCTAGAAAGACAAGTATTTTATGACGGAGGGAGTATTAAGAAAGGACAGGATAAAAAAAAATGAAGAGCGTATGCAGATCAAGTTACGAATGATCAGATTAGCATACCAGGCAGGTGTTCTCCTTCCAGATTTTGGCTCATCACTCGTGTATTTCTCTGAGTTAACCTTGTACTTGTATGTCGGGGGAAAGCTGATAACTCCTTCAGTCCACCCATCAAATAAATGCCCTTTCTTAAATTCTCGTTTTAGCTATCATAGAGTAGAAAACAGTGAGGTACTATGTATTTATAAAGTAGTAGGAGTATGTCACAAGATGCTGCACTGCTGCCAAAACTTTACCTGGTCATTCTGGAACAAACCATTCCAGTCCTTCATGGATATGAATTCATGTGTTTTTTCATATGATAAGTTGATCCTATAATTGAGATCTCCTAACCATATTATCCTTCTGAAATATTCAAGAAAATAAAAATATTAGACAAACTGATAAGATTTATATAAACTAATAAGCAATGTTTCCTGCAATTCTTGATCAAATAAAACTAAAATGAACAAAAGAAGTATAAGAAAAATTTCAAATGTGTGCAACCCTCGAACACATGCTTCATTATGTGATTTTTGCCACTAATATGCACAGATTCACTTCAACCATTTATCCCTTGTTATACCATCATATTTAAACAAGTAAACAGTGACGCCAAACACAATCTAAACTGAAATTGAGCCATCATCTGCTTCATTATGTGATTTTTGCCACTAATATGCACAGATTCACTTTAATCATTTATCCCTTGTTATCCCATCATATTTAAACAAGTAAACAGTGACGCCAAACACAATCTAAACTGAAATTGAGCCATCATCTCCAAAAGAGTATCAAATGGCATGGATAAAAAACATGCTTAGTTTAGCTAGAGCTTTAGGAATTGCGTACTGAGCTTCTAGTGTTTTAGAGTTGCAAGTTTACGTACTTACTCATGGTCATATATAGTCTTAGGCATGCTAACTCTGGAAACCGGATTAAATATTGTCCTTCGATGGATTTCTTGCACATCAGCATTCCTTTTCAGTTCATCTCCATCCTTTTCTCCAGAGGTCAGGTGGCAACATATAAAGCAAAAGAGTGTTTGATAAATGGACATGCTTACTGCTATTGATCCCTGGAGCATGTCAAGTAAGAAAAATTAGCCCATTGTTTTCTAAATAGCACATTGACTTACCAGCGCATAGTAAATGTACATGAGATGGTACGACCAAAGTGCACAAAACTAGGTGCTAAAACGAAAGTGTAATATGATCATTAAGAAAACAAATATAGTATAAAAGAATGCTAATTTTGGCTGTGCCTAACAGTAGAGGCCGGAGATGTAAACCATTTCTATTATCCAAAAAAAGGAATGCTAATTGTTTTCTACATATTTGGAATTGCTAAAGGAATTGAGAATGATGTGCTTCACGGGAACTTGCCTTATTACCAATATAACCCATAGCACCGACACCTACGGTTGATACTTTCAAATTTTGAATATGCTTCCGCAGGCTTCTTCGTACCCATATTGAAATAAAAACTCCAACCATCTGCTTGCTTATTATCCTTACGAAGTATGGTCTTTTCGTTTTGACTAGTGCACTTTTGATGTTAAAATCATGAACTAAACAATCATCTGGAAAAGCATTGGAATCTCCATGTGCTGATTTGAAAGACAAACATGACCTCAGTGCCTTCTCTGAAATAAATGGTTTCGTGCTGTCTGGAAGACGCTGGGCCAATATATCCAACGGTTGTTCAGGCCAAATCATTCCAAGCCTCTCTGAGTAGCTGAGTGTTTTAGTTAACATTTTTTGATGGATTGGCTCTTCCAAACTAGATACATAGTCTTTAAAACTTAAGTTGTGTGATCTATCGAAAATCTTCATTGAAGGCACCCTGCTGAAGTTGTTTCCATTTACGGTAGTTTCAGTAGGACCAGAAGTAGAGTGCTCATATTTATTACTATGAACACTGTCATCATCAACGGTAAAATCTTGTTCATTCCATGGGTGCACTTCCCCGCCACTTTCGCTGTCAGATTCACTAACAAGTTCATCTTCCACATCGTCAGAAGGCTTGAACCTTGATGGAGAAGGAGGATCACTGTGACATTTATATTTTGGTTTATCAGGACTAATCTTATTCAATGTTTCACGAATGATATGTTCCCACATTGCGACAGGACGGTTGTCTTCAGCACCAAATATATTCCCAGCATTTAATGGAACAATTTCTTGAAATCTAAAAGATAATAAGTTCAATTTGTTTAATAGGTGAAAAAAATAAAAAGGAGAAATATCAGTCATAGTGTAATATGAATAAGTAACAAGATGGGATGCAACAATTTACCCAAGAACATAAATATCAGCTGGCTCCTCCATATCCAACCAATCTTGAATATCCAAGTCATCAGGTGGAAGTCTTCCTGCAACATTCCATGTTCCTACGCAGACCCTGCATATCAAACCAACATTTTAAGGAATAGTGACAGAACGGCAGTAGATTTTATAGGTTTCAGCTGCAATTAGGCTTGATCTTAAGGGGTTATTCTTGTGCTAGGAAAGATAAATATATTGAGGAACAAACCAAGTCATTTAGCTTATCTGAAGCAAATTCTTACGGAAAATACTGTGAACAAACAACTAGGCAAGTCCAGATAATCTGAAGGGAGAACAAATGCATGCCTGAGTTCCTTAATGTCGATATATTGGGCACGAAGGGTCTCTGACTTGCGCCTTCTATTAAGCTTGTAGGGAGCACCCTCCATTTGGCTATCTGAAGATTTGATAGTCTTCGTCAGTGCACAAGGAAGCTACCTGGGTTTTCTCTGATAGGATGTGTATGCCAGAGGTGCTTAAGAGGTAGTACTAGTTCCCATCGAAAATTGGTGAAAGGGTGGACTAGTATGTACCATGTAGTATCTCTTAGTTTGGCAGAATCAACACCGTATTTCACAATTTTCAGTGTGTGGCAAAACAAAGAAGAAAACATACTATTAAACAAAACCTGGAAATAAGCATCCAGAAAAAAAGAAGTTTGCTACTGTGATTAATATAGTAACTTATTTCGTTGGTGATATGTAGTTCAAATTTTTCATGTGATGCTTTGTCAATAACCCTTTTGCCGATGAATGTGTTGAACACAATAATTATGCGAATCAAATAAATACCAATTGTCTCAGCGCCCAAACCACGCAGTCTCCTCTCCTCATCATATAGTTGGCGCTCCCAATGGCACATTTCTGCACAAATCCCATTATAAGTTCAACTATTATTAGAACCAATTTTTGAAAAAGAACTGAACATACATATGCCGTAGCCAACAAATTTAAGTGCAAAATTTACACTTGTTTTCCCTTTTTTAAAGCTGCCTCCTTTTTGTCAGCATACATGTGCGGCAAATGTATTTATGGCCGTCAGATTCAGATGTCCTTTCATTTTTTTTCCTTATTTCCTTTAGAAAGATTGTACTAGTATACTATCTTAGGAATAGGATGGGAGAGCTTGTCGTTTTGAAATTCACTAAACAAAAGAAACATTGGTTTTAACATTCTTTGAATTCAACGTCTAATTTTGTTTTTTTGTTCTAGGTAAACGGAGGAATAAACAAACCAAAGGAATAGCCTAGGAGTTGGGAATACACCACCACAAGAAACCAAAAGAACAATACAGTCCACCTCTACTTTTTTTAAGAGCGAGGATAGTAGTGAGTTATAAAAAAGCTATATGCTTAAGTGGAAGAGAGAGAAAAAATTGAGTGACTCTCATAGAAAAGCTAGCTCTAAACATGCTCCAAAAATATGCATTAACTTCGTGGTGAGGGAAAGAAAGAGGAGGAAAACAAATAGAGCTAACCTCGTAGCTAATATATTATACATGTTAGTTCTACAATGAATTTAGTAAGGAGTAAGCTCTACTATTAAACTTGCTCTAATGAGCAAGGTTAGAAAGGCATCTCCAAATTTCGTTAACTCCCCTTCCACTTCCTATCCTTTTTCCCCCCTGAAATACCAGAATCTTACGGTTGTGCTAAGTGCTAACTGGACCAGCTCAAGTTGAAAGAAGCAACCGTCAAAGCTCTCATCTTTATTGGTTGTAAGCAAAAACATCCACCTACCAAACCAATCGATGCATTCTTCTGGTCCACAACTTTTCTTTTCCAAAGAATTATGATGGACAAAAAGATCAATTCTGGAGACGAGGGACCAGTGGTTGAACCAAAACCCGAATGCATTTCCCGATCCATTGAGCTTCACAGCGAATTTTGGTTTCGATTTTTTTTTATTTTTATTTTGCAATAATGAAGCCCATGTGGTAGAGAGAGGGAGAGGGTCTAGATCACCTTCGTACTCGAACTCGCTATCGGTGTCGTCGTCGCCGGTGGCTTCGCCCTCGTCGGCGCTGAAGTCGGATTCCGGCGACCTGATGTTGAGCCATTTCCGAAGCACCGTCTTCGGCCACAGCTGTGTGCATGCCCCGCGTCGCGTCCGACCAAACGTATCAGTTAGCCCCCGAGCAACGAAACTCCGATCCGAGAGAGAGAGAGAGAGAGAGAGAGAGCGAGCGAGCTTTAGCTAGCGCGGCGCTCACCTGCTTCTGCTTCCTTCCCTTGCGCCGCATCGGCCTGGACGAGGCGCCGGCGCCGGCGGCGTGGTGGCTCGCAGTGGCAGCCGGCTCCTGCTGGCTCCCCGACGCGCCGAGCGGAGGCAATGAGCGAGCCGGTGGCGTGGCCCGCGCCGACGCGGAGGTGGAGGAGGCGCCGGCCATTCGCGCCCTCGTCACAGCCCACCAACACAGCGCACACAGCAAAAGGCAACTTCTCCGTCCGCCTTCCCTTTCCGGTTCCCTTTTTTATCGAGTCCGGTGCGAAGCTATAAAACGGCAAATTTATTAGCGCTTGGACTTGGACTTGGACTTGGACTGCACGGCAGCTGGCCTAGAGGGACCCTAGAGTAGAGCCGCAGCCCGCAGCAAGCAAAGCACCCCCCCCTACTTGTACCAGCGCCGCTGGTGGCGGTGGAATGGTGGATGGATCACGGCCGCGACGTGCAGGCTCACGATGTGGCGCCACGCGGCGCGTGGGTTGGCTGTGTCGTGGTCTCTCCCCAAGTTGCACGTACGCGCGCGACCAATCGCCCGCGGCGCCCGCCCGTGCCTTGACCACCCCGGCTTGGGCCACCGTCGTCCCGGCTGGCTCTCGGTGACTGGAAGAACAGCTATCGCGGTGACCAAACCAAGCTCCGCGTTCTCCTCGTGCCGACCTGTGCTGGTGCTGTGCCCCGCTGCGCACCGTACGTCCATTGCTATACTTGAACTGGACGGAGACCCGGTTTATCCTCCTATCACGGTCACGGGGATTCCCTACTCCTGTACTACAGCTACCGCTGCCGCTACCACTTGCTCTTCTTCCTCGCAGCGAACGAAGCTTCTTTCGACGCGAAAAAACCTGTAGCTATCTTTCTTCGCTCGTCTCGTCGCCGTTGTACGTGACCTGTATCGCGGACCAGGGTTAATTAGTTCGATGTGACTGAAATCTTGACATGGGCTTGGTTTAGTTCTCAACTTTTTCTTTAAGCTTATAACTTTTTTATCATATCAAAACTTTCAATTTTAGTCAAACTTTCAACTTTTTTTTTAACTTTTAATTTTAGTCAAACTTTCAATTTTAACATGGAACTAAACACACCCATGTTTGTGCAGTTTGCCGACCACCGCGCGTGTCAAAGTTACATTCTTCGTGTACCACACTACCTCGGTACCTATCCGAATACTACGGATTTGTCGCTAGAGTCTTAACGGTTGTTGCATCGTCATTTCATCCGGTGGGAGTTTCACACTTCTTCAGGTTCCAACTTGGAGCGTATGGCCGAGTGAAAAAAATGGACGGTGCGTATGCACGGCGGTGGGCCGGTGGCTGCCATGGCATGGGCACAGCGTATGCGCGGAGAGATTTCCAAGCAAATCCGCATGCACGTGTTTTCCACGCAAAGCAGCTTGGTTTGGAGGCTGTTTCACCAGTAGCTTGACAGCGATCAGCCGGATTAGCTAGGGCAATTGATGTTGCTTGCCTGGCTGCCGCCTGCAGATCTCCCTTCCTACTTCGCTTTATCTCACCTTTTGGGTGCACTCCTCATCTGGGCCAGCATAACCATTGCACTAGTTTTTGTTTCGTTATAAAAGTTTCTCCTCTTCTTCTTTTTTTTTTCTTTCTTACACAGGAAAAACAACTGCCATGTTCACACAAATTTGTTTGGGCATTCCTGCATCTCTTCATTTTTCTCTAGTGTTTTACGTGTGACTTCAGCTAGTCTACAGTTATGCTGTTATATGGGGCACTCTCAAATATTAATACTGATCACGCAGAACTTGTGGTTGGTAGCATATTGTTACTTTACACAAATGATGTAAAAGAAGGCGTGTTGTCTGGCCCAGAGCACAACAGGTCGAAGAAGAATCCTCTTGAAGATCGTAAACAACAGGCATGCTAGCCAACCAAGAAAGATCGAATGGGGCAATGCTCAACCATGATTGACTTGTAAAAAGATCAGGAGCTCATCTTTCCTCGTCTGAGATTATTCAGCTGTATCAATACTAGGATTGACATTTGGTACAAGCATAGCTGGTTCGTATTGCTTCTGGATTCCGTGGGCAATGATTTTTCTTAAGCAAAACTGTTCTCTATGTTGGTATTAGGTGTGTGCTTTGACTAGATTACGTTCTGAAACAAAATACCTACTATACATGATTCAGGGGAAGGAAACGCTATGCCACGATGGATCACGTACAGAGAAATGTTTCCAACTTCTTTAACATTTTATTATCTAAGTCGGTGTCACTGTCTTCCATCAAACAAGGAGTATAATACATTAAATTGTACTGGAATATATTTGTTTACCAATTCATGGCATGACAGGTCGAAGCACTGTACCAGACAGTGGTCATATGTTTTCCTCAATACAAAGGACGGTGGTCATCATGCCCACTGCTCCTATTATCATCACTGCAATTTTGTTGTTCTCTATATTTTTCGAACCATATTGAAAGTTTGCATATTTTTCTAGTGAGGCATCACCTGGTCAGTTTGAGACAATAGAATCCAATCAAGTCTGCTGATAGGGGAATAAACCATCATGGCACCTCTTTCTCCCTCTTTTCTGAAGGGAGACAAACCATGTTCTCTAGTACCGGGCGTCTGATTAAAATTCTTTAGTGCAATTTATGCAACTAAATCTGCCCCATTTGCAGTACACGCACCACTCATCTTCTCTAGAGAGAGCTAGTGCTTGCACATGAAAGCAGAGCATGAACAGATCAGGCCATGGATGTTGGTCGTTTGGAGATGCCCCATTCGTCCAACAGCTGCATTATTGGCAACCTGACATAACCGCACTACAAATCAATCCAATGCATCCGAATTTTAGAGGCTGTTTATTTCGTGAAAAGAAAATTTTTGGTTGTCACATCAGATGTTTGACCGGATGTCGGAAAAGGTTTTTGGACACGAATAAAAAAAACTAATTTCAAAACTCGTCTGGAAACCGCGAGACGAATCTTTTGAGCCTAATTAAACTGTCATTAGCACATGCGAGTTACTGTAGCACTTTTATGGCTAATCATGGACTAACTAGGCTTAAAATATCCGTCTCGCGATTTCCATGCAAACTGTGCAATTAGTTTTAGTTTTTATCTATATTTAATGCTCTATGCATGTATCAAAGATTCGACGTGATGTTTTTAGGGGAAAAATTGGAACTAAACCAAGCCAGTTCACGTTTTATAACCTCATTGGCATTGTTCTATCGATCGGCGATGGGCTGATGGCGACGGAGAGCTAGTACTTAAGGGATAAGCAAAAACAGGGCCTTGTGCAGCTTTCACAGTTTGCGTCTAGCATGACGCCATATGCACCACTATACTCCCATTCGCAGATGATGCGAAACAAAAGCACCAAAATCCGTCATCCCACTGGCAATTCAGCATCTGTGCAAAGCATATAATGTGCGGATAATTGAGCGGTCGTCATGTCAGCCGAAATGGATGGTGAGATCAACAACACCGGTTCTCCGTGGTAAATGGTGATACGTGCCCATACATGCGTGCTGTCTTTTCACCTCGCGGCCTCTTGCGGAATACTCCTGCTGCACCGCTAACTTCACCTTCGTCTTATCCCCCCCCCCCCCCCCCCTGAAGCGCTCACCACTTCACTGCGTGGACCGCGACGCGCGACGCAGCGAGTGGCCACGGCGCGTTCGGCCGCATCGGTTCCACGCGCGGAACCGTACAAGTCTCAACGTGACAAACGCCGGGGTTGTAGAGCAGCCGGGTGATATCTGGGGTCGCATTCCCTGTTCGCTTTTTACCTTTCGATTCGGTTGGAAACCGTAGCGCGCGCGCGCAGGGGCGGAGTCGCGGTTGACGCCTGTACGTACGCGTCGCTGTCGCGTACCACCTGCTCGGAGTACATGACTACATTACGCACGGGCCGGCCGGTATACCGAAAGCTAGTACGGGGGCAGTAGATTTTTGATGCCGCAGAAGAGACGGAGCGAGCGGGGGTGTGGTGGAGACGTCGACACGCGGCCGCGAGTGGTGCGCGCGGTGTGGTTTTGACTCCCGGGTGACATATGTACACGGATTAGATTATGTTATCTTCAGATGGGCGCGCGTACGTTGCAGAAAGCGTGAGGTACCGAGATGGCATGAATGGGATGGGAGCCAGTCAGTTTTTTTATATCAGAAAGATCATAGGTAAAGGTGCAAGCAGACCGATCCACGAACCTATGTATGATACAAATAATAAACAGACAACCTTTTGGGTTATCTATTAATTTGAATTATAAATGGGTTTGCGAATCTTTCCACTTGCACCTTTAATCATGGGAGTGCACATACTACTTGTGCTTGACACATAATTTCCTTTTTATCTCATATCTGAAAGAGATTAAGGGTGTGTTCGAAGAGAAGGGGATTGAGGAGATTGAGAAGATACGTAAAACGAGGTGAGCCATTAGCTCATGATTAATTAAATATTAACTATTTTAAATTTCAAAAATAGATTAATATGATTTTTTAAAGCAACATTCCTATAGAACTTTTTTACAAAAAACGCATCGTTTAGTAGTTTAAAAAGTGTGCGCGCGGAAAACGAGACTTAATCTCCCCTATCACCCTGGAATGAACAGAGCCTAAGGGTCTCTCTGAATCGCAGGAATGGAAAAACGAGGGAATAAGAAAAACATAGAATTTTGATAGGAATATAAGTACAAAACAAAAAAAAAGAAGAATTAGACTGCAGAAAAATCACAGGAATTAGATAAAAGAGATTTTCAGTTGAAGCTCTAGCTAAAATTCCTTTAAAATCTCTATAGAATTGTCTATTCCATATGAATTTTAAAAGATCAACATATGATCCAATCATTTGTTTAAAAACATTCACAGGAATTTTTTCCTATAATATTGAAATCTTTCAAATTTTTTTATGTTTTTTCTTCGAATTAAAGATGCCCTAACTTTTTTTTTAAGATGAAATGAAAGAGAACTAATCACTCGGCAGGAAGAGCCGCACAGGGCAGGGATAGCCTCGTGAGAGCGACTCATCCGAGACGTGACAGAGAACCCGGTTCCAATAGGGCTATATGCCGCGAAGTGGGAGCATAAACAGAAGCAACCAAACGCTCGCATTCTCGCACTACAGCTCTGCAGCCTTTCCTCCCCTTCCCAATGCATTACTGCTAGAACAGGAGACGGACGGACAGCGAAACTTTGGTTACAATAGCAGGCTATAAGCCAGCTGCAAACATATTTTAAAGAGATAAATAAGGAGAAAAAGGAGCAGCGGGCTACAGATTTATAGCTAGCTGTAGCACGGACTCCAAGACGCGGTATGTGTATGATAGGTAGGACCAGATATTTATAGTATAGTATGTAACTATTGTATGAATGAGCTATTAGATTGGCTATAGATGAATTGGAGGCTAGTAGTTGACTATACTATTAAACTTGCTCTAAGAAAAAGTATCATATACGGCGAAAACGAGACTCCAGTAGCAGCCACAAAAGGAGCTATCTCCATTCTGTATCACTTGACTTTCGAATGTTGAAGAAGATGTGTTACATTTACAGAGAGATTGCACGCAAGCATGGCCTTGAACCCATCTTCGTGCACTCGTGTGCTGTGTATTCCACGGTGCTCCTGCGTGTGACTCAAGCACTGGGATCATTTTGTATGTGCGTTCGCCGATCGATGTGTTCTTCGATCGAACCATACCGATCACGGGGAAAAGGAGTAATCGAGGCGCACCGGGGGCACCGAGCCCGTAATCTTTCAATCCTGCTTTTTGTGAAAGTAGCACGTACGGATCGAGCGGCTCCGACGTTGCCTCGGCTGCCAGGAACGGAACGTGATTCCTCGAGTATAGATACTCTTTTTTTTTAAGTAGCTATACAACTGTTGACAGTTTTTGGGATGAAAAACTTTTAAATATAACTACTATGTAATTACATTGTAACTACTATGTAACTACTATATAACTAATATATAACTCGAGTGTAACTAAAAAAACCCGATGGGAGAATTGGTTAGGTGAACAATCCCTACTGCACGCGTCTGAATTTTTTAAACCGTTTTCCCTCACTAGCACAAATCTCAAAGCATATTAGACGGCTTAAAATTTAAAAGTTTTTACCCCCTATTAACTGTCGCCAGTTGTATAGCAAATCCATTTTTTTTTAAACCTCCAAGGTAGATACTCGACGGACGTCATAAGATTTGCTTTCGTTTGTTTACTCACTGTTTACATGGTGCAGCATCGTGCTTGTCGATACTAGTAGATATTTGGGCGTACAACACGACAAAGAAGGTTCCGAGGCTTGGGAGGCTGGCCCCCGGCGTCCGAGGCCTTGAGGGTAGTAGGGTGGCTCCGGCGGTCTGCTTCGCTGTTCCATGGTTCTGAATTAAACGGGCCTCTGATGGGCGATGTCGCATATTTTTTGGGCCAGAATCCTAAGGCCTACTGTTGAAGTGGACGTGCGGGTTTGTTTAGGTGGGCTCGTTATCCACATACATGGGTTGGACCGTCCAAGTAAATCGATTCTTTTAGGAAAAAGTACACCGGAGGTCCCTCAACTTGTCATCGAGTTACAAAATCGTGCTCCAACCACAAAAGCAGATATAGCACATCAATCATTTTACAAAAATCAATCATTTTACAAAAAAACATTCACTTTAGGTCATTCGGTGGTTTTGACCACAGTTTTATTCTACGTGGCAGTTGAGTCAGCGTGGAACCCACGTGGGCTCCACATGTCAGCATGGCCACGTCGGGCTCATTCTCTGTTTTCCTCCTCCCCTCTCTCTCTCTCACATTCTTCTCTCTTCTCTGGGCAAGCCGACCGACGACTGGGGCGGAGGCCACCGGGGCGAGGCAGGAGAGCAGGAGGCGGCTGCGGCTGCGGCGGGCGTTGCGAGCCGGGGTGGAGAAGTCGCGGGCGCTCAACCACGCACTAGCAGGGCGGGGCCCAAGCTTGGGGAGATCCAGGCGAGGTTCCCGGTGATGGAGACGGCGTTGTGCCCGATCACGCCCCGCGGGACACACTCGAGGGCGCTGGGGAGTACATCAACCGCGCTGTGGGGCCGGCCGTCGCCGTGCGCGGCCTCGAGCCGCCGTTCCTCGCGGCCTCCGCCGTCGCCGACGACCTCCTCGGATACCTCGTCGTGTTGTCCCGCCTCGAGGAGGTGCTCCACTTCCTCTCCGACAACTGCGGCATCGCCTCCCAGTGGCTCAGCTTCGCCGAGTACCTCGGGGACCGCAGCCTCGCCGACCCCTGCTTCGTGTCCGACCTCGCCGAGGTGCTCTCTCACCTCAAGACCCCCTCCGCAAACCTGGACGGCGGCCTCCTCGTCGCTGCCTTGGACATTCTTGAGGACGAGTTCTGTCGCCTTCTCAAGGAACACTCAGCTTCGCTCGCCATGAAAGAACCCAACTATAGCCGGCCCCGCCTCCACCTTCGTGCCCACTGCCGCGGGCGTTCGGCCCCGCCTCCGCCTCCGCGCCCAACACCGCGGTGCCCGCCTGCACGGGGCCGCTTCACCGGCGGTGGCGACACAGCGCGACGACGCCATTCGCAACCGGCCGCCGCCCTCGCCTTCTCCTGCATCGCAGCTGCCGCCGTCACCTCCTCTCCCGCCTCACTCTAGCGGCATCCGCCCCAGCCGCCGTCCGGCTTGCCCAGAGAAGAGAGAAGGGTGAGAGAGAGAGAGGAGGAAGGGAGAGAATAAGGGAAAGAGAGGAGGCCGACGTGCCACGCTGATATGTGGGGTCCACGTGGGTCCCACACTAACTCAGCTACGTAACGAAAACGGGTCAAAACCACCGAAGGATCTAAAGTGAACGATTTTTATAAATTGAGGGATGTGCTATATCTAGTTTCACAGTTAGGGGACGATTTTGTAACTCAGATGACAAGTTGAGGGACCTTCGGTGTACTTTTTCCACTCTTTTAGCTTTATTAGGACTGTGTTCTTCCCTTTCTTTTTCAACTCATCTTCATTTTTTTTACGTGTATGTTTTTCAAATTACTAAACAGTGTGTTTTTTTCGCGCCGAGGTTGAAGAAGCTGGTGAGCAGGACCGAAACAAAGTTTGTTTCAAACTGGCAATGCCAACTATACCGTCCCATTACCACACTAATCTTTTAGGCCCTACTTGCCTGATGCATCTGCCGAATTTAAACCCCGGAAACGATATTATTTGCTGATGACGCTGGCGAAAATTCCCTTGTTTTAGGCATATAAAATGCAGAATTGCAGATACCGTGCAGTATATCCAATACCAGCTCGAACTTATTCGGCAAAAAGGGGTGCCCAGCATCGCAGTGCAATGGGCTGCGACAAAGCGGCAAACATAAAGCAACATCACAACCGTGCACAACCCCGAAGCAGTCAGGTGGTGTTTAGATCCAGGGACTTAACTTTAGTCCCTGTCTTTAGACACTAATTTAGAGTATTAAATATAGACTACTTACAAAACTAATTACATAAATAAAAGCTAATTCACAAGATAAATTTTTTAAGCCTAATTAATCTATAATTAGAGAATGTTTACTGTAGCATCACATAGGCTAATCATGGATTAATTAGGCTCATTAGATTTGTCTCGCAAATTAGTCCAAGATTATGGATGAGTTTTATTAATAGTCTACGTTTAATATTTATAATTAATTTTCAAACATCCGATATGATAGGGACTTAAAAATAGTTTCATCTAAACAGGGCCTCAGTCGTCTCTCCGGAATTTATTCTGGTGAAGTCACCAATCTATCGCAACGAAACAAGACGCGGTTGACCAATGATCAGCAATCAGCGGTTCAGCGTACGTTTCAGTTCAGCACTTTGGGCTTCCCGGCGAGCATGAAGGCCTTGAACACGAGCTTCCTCGCCACCGCCGGGTCTCCCCACTCCGCCTCCACCCCCTTCATCACGTCCTTGGTCACCGCCTCCAGGTCTACTCCCTTCTCCCTCGCCGTCGTCACGACGGAGCCGGTCTTCAGGAACCCGACGAGGTCGTCCAGCGTCATGTCCACCTCTATGTCGACGTCGGCCGGCTCGCCCTCGCGGCCCACGCCGACGGGCTCGAACGGGAACGGCAGGTCGCGGTACCTGTCCATGGCCAGCCTCGTCCTCGGGTCCATATACGGGCGCATGGCCGGGTACAGCTGGCCGTGCAGCTTGTCCTCGAACGGGTGGATCTCGTAGTTGTAGCCCCACACCGCGAGGACGCCGCCGGGCCTCTTGAGGACGCGGTTGGCCACGGCGTAGAAGAGCGGGATGTCGAACCAGTGGATGGAGGTCGCCACCACGACGAGGTCCAGCGAGCCCTCGCCGCCGACCATGGCGACGAGGTCGTCCTCGGAGAGGTCCACCGGGGTGTGCAGGTACCGCACCTTGGGGTGCGCGACGGCGTGGCGGATCTGCCCCTCGCTCGCGTCCGTCGCGACCACGCTGTCGTAGTGCTCCGCGATCTGAACGCACACGGAGAAACACTGATGATAAAGACGGTCGATCGCCGGCGAAATTTTTCGTTTTTTTTCAGAGTTCAGAAGATGATGAAGCGGCGAGAGTGGTTCAGAGATTGGGCGCTTACGCTGATGGAGGCCTGGCCGGTGCCGCAGCCGGCGTCCCAGGCGCGGTGGTGGCCGGCTGTGAGGGCGGCGAGCTTGGAGAACCAAGCGTCAGGGTACCGAGGCCGCTTCTTGGTGTACGTCTCCGACGGTCTCTCATACAGCCCAGCCATTCTTGCTCTCTGCTTCTTCTCTATAACCTCCACCGGACCACAGCTCCAGTCCTGGACTGTGAAGAGCGCGAATTGTTGGGGTGGATCTGGATGGAATTTATAGATCACCGAAGATGACAGATTCAGAGTCAAAGTCAAAATCAGCAGTTGTCATCTGATCCATCTCAGTGAACAACTTTGCATTTGCATTATCCACTAGTGTATTCTAGTGGCGGTTACACCATTTTTCTCCTCCTAATAGTACACCACCACATGCTGAAACTGCTGCAACAAAAATTATGCACAAGATAAAATAATTTTCAAAGGCAATCAGGAAAGTAGAAGCATGCTGCTAACAGGACAAGGAAAAATATGGGGTAAAAGGTAGGTAAAAACAGGCAATGCATCAAATCTGAAAGATGTGGATTGTAGAAAGATGAGGTAAAGACAGGAATAGCAATCTGAAACCTGTAGATTGAAAAATAGCCTGGGTCTTGCAAGTCAACCAGACGTGGGCAAGTTGCTTACTTCGATTTGTGGCTAAGATGGCCCTCCACATTAGTCCTGCGCTGAACTAACTGAACCCAAAAAGATGCTTCAGCAGCCGTATATGGGAAAACAATAAGATGCTTTATAACATGGATCATCTGCCAGATGAAGGCTTTTACGGTTAGGTCTTGATTACATCTTCACAGTAAAAACAGATATCTTTGGTTTCATCAGCATGGATATAAACATCTCTGCACAAATCAGAGTGTTGCAACCTACTATAATAACGCTACAACTTAGGAAATAGAGGATTCTGAATAACAAGACAACTATACAACAATAACATGGGAATTCCAGAGTCTGTGACTGGGAATTTTAGACTGGCACAGCATATGCAGGGACTGGAGGTGTGCCTCTGCCAACTTCAGCTGAGGTTTGGAGGTTTAGGTAAGTGCCTTGGTCACTACATGTAAATATTTAGCTTAGGTACAGCAATATTTAACCAAATACACTTAAGTATTTAACCGTGTCTTATTTGTTCTTTTAGATAAGGGTTAAGTCCGATTTATTTGTTAGCACTTGAAGACATGGTGACAGTAAAAAAGGCATGACATTAGATGATAACTATATAAGATAAAGAACCGCTCATTTTACATAATTACTCTTTTCAGCGATACCTGAATGTTATTCTTACATATTTGTAGTCTAGTGGGTGCAACAGTGCAAGCAATTCCTGCACTGGATCAAGTCCGCAGTATCCACAGACCACAGTCCACACTGCCTGACTTAGAGGTGCAACCGTGCAAGTCATCTGGGAACCTTCTGTGCCGTTAGAACACATCACCCTGTCTGCAAAATACCTGATTCTTTTCCAGGAGCAATCTGATAATGCAGCTTTGCATCTCCAGGAGTTCCCAAAGGTGCACCAGTGCAGGAACAGTTATCAACCATATAAAGCTCCCACTTCTTGATCCCACACTTATCTAAAGCAGATGCCAGTCTTGGGTCATCCAAATCTGGACAAGAGCCATCTGGGCTAACGAGCACTGCTCCAGTGTATGCTAGTCCAGCGGCCTGAGCGGCTCCGTGATAATGGAACAGACCCCAGCTGAAATCATCTGAAACATCAACGATTGTCCAAAACTCCTTTGAAACCACACCATTATCCAGCACACTGAAGTAAAATGTACCAGGGATGAGAGCTCTTCTTACTCGGTACTTTCTGCGCCTCCAAACCAGTTCCCCTTCCAGGGTTCTGACTTGAAAAATTGGCTCATACCAAAATGAACCTTTAGCTTTTCCCCTGTAAAATAATTGATACTGACATGGGAATTGATCATATGCTGGATTTTGTCCAGCTACAACTCTCCAACTCCATTCCAAGTTGTCCAACCATCCAACAAACATGTCTTCTGCAAGTTCATGGCTTAGCATTTGTTCTCTGAACATGGTTAGTGGGGGTACAGAGGGCTTACTGGGGATCTCGGCATTGAGATCAAGACAATTGTTCTTCTGCAAAACACATAAAGAAAAGGCCTCCAGATGCGGACTCTCATACGACGCAATGCAGCGATAGTTGCAAACTTGATCAGTTGGAGAACATGAATTTAAACACTGAAGGGCTTTCCTACAGTTGGGATCGAACAGACAATTCAGTATCTGAGGACCACAATTTCTTATCATACAGCTTAGGGTAGACAGACCTTTTGCCCTAAGGTTTTGCAGCATATCAACAGGTCTTATGTACGCATTAACCACAACAAGTAAGCAAAATCTAATGTCATCTGAATTATGCCTTTCCCAGGCATTAGATACAGCCTTAAGGACTTCAGCAGATTCCTTCATGCCACCTGTTTCTCCAATATTTGTTAGCTTGCAAAACATGTCCTGACGTCCAGTGTATTGAACATACCTGCCACCTAACTTGTTTTCTAAGGTTGGAGATGATTGAAAGCAGATTATATTGGGAATGTCCTCACTGTTATTTATAAGCCACTGAACAGTCTCCTGACTCGTTATTGCAACATTGACTAGCATATCACACTGTGCCAGCTCTTTCCTAAGTTCATCATGGCCAATTGACTTGTCTGTGAAGACAAGCATTTCAAATCCTTCGTCAACCCACTTCATCCTATTAGCCTAAAAAGACAGAAAAAACGAGATGCATGGTTACTGGCAGTAAATTTATGCAGAGAGATATTCTGCATATTCATATTAAGTACGACAATAAATCAGAGGACCTGTTTCTTGCTTTCTGAATGAACAAATGTGTCATCTTGTAATCCTCAGATGCACAAATAAGCTTGGACTCTACATGTTTTTCCTTATGTGCATGCTAACTCAAAAAACAAAAAGTTAAACAATTTCGATGATACTACTATATTAGATTGAGTTCACATGAGTGGCATCTTGGGTTTGATCGTCATCCACAAGACCACAAATGGGAAAACAAAGGAAACCAACTTACAACATATTTCCCATGAATGGCTCTGCAAGGGTTGCAGTTTTGTACACTATCACTAAATAAATGATGGCCAGGAAAGACTGAAATATATGTGCGGATTTTTTTTGGGTGATTCCACGCACATGCCCCTTTTCATAAGCCCACAGGTATGACACACAATTGTATTATGGAAATTATGTAAATCCTACACAAACCATGGTATCATATATGGACATATCAATCCACAAAACTTGAACAGAAATTCCACACTTGCATTGTATAGCGTCACATCTTACAGAATCTAAGATTGTGGCATCGATAGGTTTATTAAATCACAAGGCAAACAAGGTAAAATAAGCGATACAAAATTATAATCAAGTACTAAAACAAGGTAAAATAAGCGATACAAAATTATAATCAAGTACTAAGTACTAACACATTTTGGAGGTACCAGAAATTTAGAATGTTCGTGCCCATATAATCACATATACTTGAATACTTCTACAACTAGTTCTCCAAGTGAGCGTGCGAAATGGTTCTGTGTGAGTGTGCAATTGACCAATCGCGTATTTGCATGTGCTTTGCCGTTACAACATTCTATCTATAGAAGTTCTTCAGTTATCAGCATATTCCGAATCGGCTTATTGCAATACTGTCGAGTTCTCCTTTGCACTGCGACTCCGCACTAGCATTTGATAGCGGTGAATCGGTGCTAGGTTCAGAGCTCAGAGCGGAAGCATACCGTGTGGCGCATAACCTCCTCCCATGGCGTGTCCTTCAGCGGGCTGATGCTCCCGTCGCCTACTATGGAGACTATGCGGACGGCGCCCTTCCCGGTGATGGTTCCGCCGGCCCCGCCGCCAAGCTCGCCCGCGGCGGCGCGCGGTGGCCCGAGAGAGCGGACGCCGCCGGAGTAGCGGCGGGCGATGGTGCGCGAAGGGGCAGGCACGGAAGCGGTTTCATGGAGGTGGCGGCGAGTAGGTAGGAAGAGGCGAGTGGTGGCCGCCGCGGAGGCGGACGTGGTGGGCGTGGCTGCCATGGGAGTCTGGGAAGAGGAGGTGGACGAAGCGGCTGGACCTCGAGTCTCGAGCCTTCGAGAACCTTTCGACTCATCCCTACCGTTCGATCAGAAAATCGACGGTGGATACTAATCTCAGGGAAAAAAATTCTGGAAAACGTTTTTCTACACAAACAAAATACGAGTTATAAAAACTAGCTGGTGGCCCGCGCAATTGCGCGGCAAACCCCAAACAAAATTATATATTTTTAAGTATGATTTTACTTAAAAAATTTATTAAATAGCTATCTCATTGTCTTAAGACATTGAAAGGCCAAACCTTATCATCATCGTGTTTCTAAATATATAGTTTTTAAAAGTCACACCAGTTGCTATCCATTATGTCATCCTCTTCTTTATTTGCTTGCTCGATTATCACTATTTCTATTCATTCTTCTTGGAATCATTAAAAATTGGATTTTATAGTTTTAGAGTTTATTGTCATGTTGTGTTTCGTTTTTACAATTCCTAGATGTCCCGTCAAATGTTGCCATTATACACCTCTACGGCCAGTCCACTGTCTCTTCTCTTTATTATCATTGAGATTTTAAAAATCGAAAATAATTATCGTTTGGTTTATTTTTTACTTTCTAAAAGTCCTGCCAAACCATCAGCGGCTTTGCCATTATACTCCTATATGACTCGCCCGTTGCCTCCCTTTTTTATTGTCATTGAGATTTCAAAATCGAACATGATTATCATTGGTTTTTTTTACTTTTTAAATTGGACTTGTAGTTTCATTTTTTATAATTTTTAGAAATTCCATCAAACGATGCCACTATGCCCCTCTACAGCCCATCCGCCCCCTACTCATTATTGTCATTGTGATTCTAAAAATCGAACATAATTATCGTTGGAATTTATTTTTTATTTTCTAGAAGTCTCGTCAACCGTCGGCGGCTCTGCAACTATACTCTTATACACCCCGTCCGCTGCTTCTCTTTTTATTGTCATTGAGATTTTAAAAATCAAATATGATTATCAATGTGGTTTATTTTTTTTACTTTCTAGAAGTCCCGATAACCGTCTTACTCGTTTGCTTCACGGCCTGCCTGACATCCCTCCTTTTAATCGTCATTAGGATTCTATTTGGTGTTTTATTAACATTTTTTATATGTCGTATCAACCGCCAACACTCTACTCTGTTTTAGATGGTATTTTCTTTCAATAGTCTTTATTTTTATCACAAATTTTAGTTATTTATAAATTGTATTCCTAATTGAAATCTTATTTTTCTTTTTCTAATTTCAGAATTTTTTTTAAAAAAAATTAGTTAGTACCGTATTGTGTTATCTTAATGTTTTTATTTTTTATTTTCAATTTCAGTTGTTTTAAAAATTGTATTTCTACTTGAACTCTCTTTAATTTTTCTAATTTTAGATATTATTTTATTTTTTACTCTAAATTTTAATTAATCTCATATTGGGTTCTTATATGGATTATTCTTTCAATGTTGCTTATTTTTAATTCCGAATTTCAGCTAATTTTAAATTGTATTACTACTTGAGCTCTTCTTTTATTTTCTTTTACTAATTTCGGATTTATTTCTATTTTTATTCTGAATTTAATTAATCTCGTATTGAGTTCTTATATGGACTCTTCTTTTAATATTCCTTATTTTTAATTTTGAATTTCAGCTATTTTTAAATTGTATTCCTACTTGGAATCTCCTTTCCTTTTCTAATTTTGGATTTTATTTTATTTTTATTTCGAATTTTGATTAATCTCGTATTGTGTTCTTATATGGAAACTTCTTTCAATATTGCTTATTTTTAATTCCGAATTTCAGTTAATTTTAAATTGTATTCCTACTTGGACTCTCCTTTTATTTTCTTTTGCTAATTTTGGTTTTATTTTTATTTTTATTCTGAATTTTAATTAATCTCGTATTCGGTTCTTCTATGGACTATCTTTTAATATTCCTTATTTTTAGTTCCGAATTTTAGCTATTTTTAAATTGTATTCCTACTTGGACTCTCCTTTCCTTTTCTTATTTTGGATTTTATTTTATTTTTATTTTTATTTTTAATTAATCTCGTATTGGGTTCTTATATGGAAACTTCTTTTAATATTGCTTATTTTTAATTTCGAATTTCAACTATTTTAAAATTGTATTCCTACTTACACTCTCCTTTCCTTTAATAATTTTGGATTTTATTTTATTTTTATTTCGGATTTTGATTAATCTCGTATTGGGTTCTTATATGGAAATTTCTTTCAATATTGCTTATTTTTAATTCCGAATTTCAGCTATTTTAAAATTGTATTTCTACTTGGACTCTCCTTTTCTTTTTCTCCGATTAATGTGGGAATTTCTAACCCCCACAGCGAACGTGGTGTCTCCTTTCAAAGCTGTTTTAATAACATAATAGATAGATACCCGCGCAATTGCGCGGCTAGCACCGATATAAAATTATCTAATTTTTAATATAGTTTTACTTAAAATTTTGTTAAATAGATATCTCGTTGTCTTAAGACTTTGAAAAACCAAACCTTATCATCCCTGTGTTTCTAGTTTTATTTTTTAAAAAGTTATATCAGTTGCAAATCCTAAATTCTTTGTCACCCCTCATTTATTTGCTTTCTCGATCACCACTACGTCTATTTGTTCTCACTAAAAACCTCTAAAAATTAGACTTATAGTTTTTAGAGTTTATTGTCTCGTTTGGGTTTTGTTTTTATAATTTTCAGAAGTCTCATCAAATGCTGCCACTATACTACTCTACGGTCCATCCACTGCCTCTTCTCTTTATTTTCATTGGGATTTTAAAAATCAAACGTAATTACCATTTGGGTTCTTTTTTTACTTTCTAGAAGTTCCACCAAGCTGTCAGCACCTTTACCACTGTACACATGTACTGCTCGCCCGCTGCCCCCTCTTTATTGTCTTTGAGATTTTAAAATTCGAACATGATTATCATTGGGGTTTATTTTTTTACTTTTTAGAAGTCCCGTCAACCGTTGTAACCATGCTACTTAATGACCCATCCATCGTCCCTCCTTTTAATCATCATTGGGATTCTATTTGGGGTTTTGTTTATAGTTTTTAGATATTCCATCAACCGCCACCACTCTAATCCTTTACATGCATGTTGCTTCTCCTATATTTGTTGTCATTTGTCATAGTTTTATAATTTTTAGAAGTCATATCAAACCCTGTCACCATACTTCTCTTCGGCCTATCCACTGCCTCTTCTCTTTATTGTCATTGGGATTTTAAAAATCGAACATAATTATTATTTGGGTTCATATTTTACTTTCTATAAGTCCCGCCAACCGCCATGACCAGGCTGCTTAACGGCCCATCCATCGTCCCTCCTTTTAATCATCATTGGGATTCTATTTGAGGTTTTGTTAATAGTTTTTAGATGTCCTATCAATCGCCACCATTCTACTTCTTTATAAACTTGTTGCTTCTCCCCCTCTTTATTGTTGTTTGTTATCATTTGTGTTCTAGATGAAGTTTTTTAGAAGTCCATATTTTTCAGTCCGATATTTTATTTACAAATTATATTCCTACTTAAACTCTTATAATTATTTTTCTATTTTCAGTATTTATTTTTTTGTTATTTCAAATTTTAGTTAATCTCGTCACATGTTCTAGATGGTATCTTATTTCAATAGTTTTTATTTTTTTATGACGAATTTAAGTTATTTATAAATTTTATTCCTAGGTGAACTATTATTTTTTCTTTTTCTATTTTTGGAATTTATTTTAATTTTGATTTAGAATTTTGGTTAATATCGTATTATGTCTTATATGAATTATTTTTTAATGTTTTTTTATTTTCAATTTTATAGTTGTTTTATCCTACTCAAACTATCTTTTTTATTTCTCTAATTCCGGATTTTATTTTATTTTTATTCTGAATTTTAATTAATCTCGTACTGGATTCTTATATATACTCTTCTTTTAATATTCCTTATTTTTAATTCCGAATTCCAGTTATTTCTAGATTGTATTCCTATATGGACTCTTCTTTTTTCAATTTCAGATTTTATTTTATTTTTATTCCGAATTTTAATTAATCTCGTATTGGATTCTTATACGAACTCTATATTGCTTATTTGTAATTCCGAATTTCAGCTATTTTTAAATTGTATTTCTATTTGGACTCTTCTTTTTTTCTTCTCCGATTAATGTGGGAATTTCTAACCCCCATAACGAACGTGATGCTTTTTTTTCGAGCAGTTTTAATAATATAATAGATAGATAGATATCTTCGAAACTCCCGCCCGCCACCGAGCGGGATACGCAAAAATCTCCAAAATTTTCCCCAACCCGCGCGCCCCCAGTTTTCCTCTCCTCCGAATCCCAATCTCTCGCAGTTCGTTCGAGGAGCTGAGACGCTGCGACGGCCATGGCGACGAGTCTCTTCCTCGCGCTGCAGTGCGTCCAGTGCTCCACTATGCAGGTGCGCGTCCTCGCCCAAATCCCTCCCCCGAAAACCCCGCGAGTTTCTTCAATAGCTCACCCGGTTTCGTTCTTGCGGCTTCGGTTTGATTTCCCAGGTGAAGCCGCAGAAGAAGAGCAGCAACAAGTGGGTGTGCGTGGTGTGCAACCAGCGCCAGTCCGTGATGCGCGTCCACGCCCGCGGGCACCGCGCCGCCGACCTCCGCCGCTTCGTCCAGGAAGCCAACCTCTCGCGCGGCCGCGCCGCGCATGTGCCCGTGCCCGAGGAAGACTGGGTCCCTGCGGTGCCGGGGGAGCAGCGGGATGAGTTCCCGAAGGAGAGGAAGAGGCGGATGGACTGGTCCGACTATCTGGAAGATCCGGGGGAGTACGATGGCGGCGGCCACCACGAGGAAGCTCGAGATGAAGGTATGCGCGAAACCTGTTTGATGTGATGTCGCAATGTATGTGTATCACAGTATCAGTATGATATTGGGTAGCGTGTAAAATGATATGCTCATTAGGACCAATGGTAAGTTGATTTTGCTAGGGGCCTAGTGTTACTACTTAAAATCAACTTGCTTGCCGCATGGTTTAGTATCGTGTTTTCAAGCTTGGACGCAGTGAGTACGGGTAATGATACTTGTGGTTCAAGGCTTAACAAAGGCATTGCTGAACTAAAATTATAAGCACCTGTTTGTGAATAGTCTTGTATTTCATATTCCATGCATGAATATAAATGTTATTGGGGCAAGCTATACATTGCTTATGCAGCGCTAGCATGATCACAGGTCTGTTACGCAGTTACAATGGCTAGTACCTGAATGCTCGGCTATAAAAAAGTTGAATATCTGCATTATGTTTCAGGATGAGGTTGTATTATGTATAGCACTTCTAAGTCTTGAGTTAGTTCTCTTCATCTTTGTTTATCTGCACTTATCTGGGAAGGAATGACCAGTCTTTAATGCATGATCTAATTGTTTTCATACCTCAATTTACAAATAGATGTAGGGATTCAAGTAACAACTGAATTACCTGAAAAGAGGCCTAAAGTCACTTCCTTGAAGAGGGCCCCCAAAGCCCAATTGGGATTAGGTGGAAAGAGGCCCAAGACACCAGTCACTTCCACTTTACCCAAGAGGCAACCGATCGAAGAAGGTTCACTCCCATGTTCTGCAGCTCCTACTGCTGAAGGCACATTCAAATCCTAACACATATTGTACTTGTCATTAACAAAACATGTAAGTTAAACGGGTTGTATGTTTTCTGCAGCACAAAGATCAAAATGGAGCAATTATTTGGATACAAGTTTCTCTGAAGGGGGAAGTGGGTTTGAAGACTCTGAGCGACATTGCAGTGAACTGGAATGCTCCATTACTGATGTTGTGGTGGATGATGAGGTACACCCTGATTTTGTGTGATATATATGTGTCTTGTCTTGGTCTGTAGCATTTTATGCTTTGAATAGTGCAGTAGTTAGAAAAGATCTGATGTGCAGTTGGCAAAATATTATCATATAGGATGGGCACTTTATTATGCACTGAATCGCAACTTGCTATGTTAAAATTGAGGAGAAATTAAGATGCATGCTAACCTTTTGAAACAATGATGTTAACAGTGCATCTGCTTAACCTACTTTCAGAGTTCTCTGAACTTAGTCCTTTGAGTTTAAAATGTATATGTATAAGGTGACAGGCTTATGTCACAACAAGAGTTTCAGTTAGTTGTATACTCCACTTAACAATACCCCCACCCCTGTAATTTCAAAAAAATCCCTGGCAAAAAGAGAGAGGATGGGAAAACACAAGTGGTGACTCTTTTCTTCATTTTGGAACTCCACAAAGTTATCCTAAAAGGTACCCCGTATAAAATCTTCTGCAGTACTTCAACTGGAAGTAGGGATATGTAATTCCGAGTTAACTGAAGATTTTGTTGGATGTATATGGGGATTATGCACTACTAAATAACTACTGATTGCATGCTTCATTTGTTATGCTTGTGTCTGGCTGAGTGCATCACTGCATCTTCCAAACATAAACTGATATTCCGAAACAATAATCCCTACACGAAGCCTGAATCACAATGAACAAATTTGAAACTTGCTGATGTCTGAACAATTCAACAACTTCTGATTTCTGAAACCATTGTTAGTTTAAACAATTTTGATCATTGACCATGATGAAGATGTGCACTCTTCTGACATGAACCTATCACCGATCACTGTTTCGCTGCCATCAACCTGCTAAGTTATGTTATAACCTATTAACTTGGTAAGTTCATACGTCTCAACATCTTTCTAAATCCAGAAGAGGGACTTGAACAAATGGTCATTATGGTAGGGCAGTCTGAAGCTCAAGCGGGAATATAAAGCATCATATCTGTGTCCTGCTACTTTGTAGAGAGGGGTTGGATAAAGAATACCTTACATTGCTTTCAACCCAGTTCCACCATTTCCTTTTCATCATTAACCCTCTTTTGCATTTATAATCAAGTGAAAGTTCACATACCTCCCTTATTTGGCGATACAAGCCACATAATGCTTTTTCTGAGCCCTGCCGCCAGACACGCAAAGAACCAAACAAAATACTTATTGCCCTTCTAATCTGGAGCAATAGCTCCTTCGGTTAGCCAGTCAACCACTTTTTGGTCCAGTCAATCATTTCGTTTCTCCCTGAATCTGTTGAGTGGTCACACAGTATTTTAACCTCGAATTCAATTTGGCATATTATTTATTTGCTATTTAGAGTACATTGGTTTTAGATTATTACCGTGTAAGTTATTGCAATATATTTACCGTAATCCTTGCTTCCAATTATGCATAATTTCAATTTTTTGTTTTCATGACTCAAAAACTGTACCAAATCCAGATCATTCAATCTTGTACTCTAAGAGAAAAAGACCATTCCATCGTTAATACGCTACTAACAAGTCATGCATTTGGTCATACATATGTTAAATTTCATTAGACAACTACCAGATGCAATTACATTCTCCTATTATATCCTCACCACAGTTCACTGGCAAGCACATAGTTGTGCCTGTGGGGTGGCGTGCTCTGAAGTGCGCCTATAAAGTTAGCAAGAGCCGACAGCTCTGCTTGCGGTGATAATCTCCGTTTGGTAGCGAACAATTTTGTACGACCTCCCGCAGACCCACTGCTTGCCGTAGCCAGCACGACGGCAACGTCTCAACTGCATTTCCTAGTAATTCATCACTTGTACTGGCCATGTCTTCCTGGTGTTTGTTTACAGTCTGTCAGTGGCAGTCAGATGAACCTGCCATTTGGTGTTCTGTGTGTCGTTACGGCTTTACGCGATCTGGGTGGATTTGGTGGTAGTTGGAAGTATAACGGACTGAATATCTTGACATGTCAGCCTGTTTATTCAGTAATTCTAGAACCGTGGGAGTCAGTGCAGCATTGATGGAATTTCTATCCCGCAACTTGAGGCACTTGGCCATGTGTGGTACTAGCATAATCAGTACTACATCTTGAGCACTTGAATATCTTTATATTGTGGCCTGTGGGAGTCTGGGAGATCTATACAACATAGTTACACAGTAGTGCCAACATACACTGATATTATCCTATTACTGTATTGCTTAACTGGGCTCGTGTCATTCTGACCTGACGCTTCGCGTCACAGCCTGTGAACAAATATGTTTTGCCGTCTCATGGTCATGGGCGATAGGTCATATAATGATATAAAGCTGTGCAATGTGCCAAACTTGTGTGATGGCACGGGCTGGCGGCGTAAGCGGCAGCCGACACCGTCAGCCAGGTTGCCCCAAATCGTCGCGGCCCGCCCGTGCTCGGGGCAGTGGCTATCGCGACGCCGCGGCCGCGCGGGCGATCAGGCGCCGTGCCGCGCGAGATGCCAACCGCGAAGCGCGTCGCGCGCGTCGCATGCGGCTGGGGCGAAATCATAGCCAACAACGACACTCCCAGCAATGGTACGGCACAATCATGGAGCATCAACTGGTGCGTCCAAGGATCTCACCCCATGATGACCCCGCCGCAGCAGCTGGGTATCGCGTGTTGTGGGCTCGAGTACCTCGTATACGGTCTCTAGTCTCAGTTAATTGTTGCCACCTACGTACGGCCCTATAGGCCATTACTGCCCTCAACAACGCGCGACGTCATCATGTTTATTGCTACGCATAATCGTTGAAATCAACCATGTTGCCGCGCTGTTCCGCCCGTGCGTGCCGGCGGAGGTCAGGTCGATCGAGCTCGCGAGCTAGCCGACCGGGGTTGGTAGTTGGCTGGTCCTTTTGGCCCATCCGGTCGGCGTGATAATTAGGTATTTGGATGTGTATTAAATCACGATGCGATGCCCTTATCCGTCTCTTCCCTGTTGCCTCCGGATCTTTGGACTTTGGAATTGGAAAAGAGCTAAGGGAGATGTCATGCTTTTGTTGATGCTCCTAACTACCGAAGCTTCGGTGTTTCTTTTCTTTTGGCATCGTCGCAAGTGATGGTGACTCGACTTAACACTCATCATCCTGCTGATTGATGCCTTACTTTACCGTTAACACGTCGATGCGTTCGACGAGGTGCACGCGCCACCGAACGCCCGCACTATCACGGCGGATGGCAATGGCTGTACTTCCATACTAATCATATTGTTCTCCCCGTATTCTTGTGCTAAAAAAAACCGGCTGTAGTAAGTATCCTTACCAACCTAGCTCAAAACTGTCTGTCTGTCTGTCTGTCTGTTGTAGTGGAGCATTTGCTCCGTTCATCTTGCCCTCCCATTCCGTCGTCGTCGATGTTACCGTGAATACTTTTTATGTAGTAGGGGGCAAGATTGGAACGGGGAATCTTCTAAATCACGTCATTACCATAACTATGTAGGCTCACATAGGCATGCTAGACAGCACGGCACTGGTCCTCATTGCCTCAGGGCAAGTATAATAGTAGGTTATAAGCCGGCTAAATGCTGAGTTGGAAGAAGAAGCGGGCTGTAAATTAACAGCCGGCTTGAACACAGGAACTAAGAAACTTTGTGAGAGAGACAAGTGGGTCCTGTATTAATTGTGAAGAGCTAACTATTATATGGATAGGATGAGAAAAGGCTATAAAGAACCTTATAGTCAGCAGGTCGGCTGTATTATTAGCCTTGCTCTCACTGGCTCCAAAGCGAAGCCAATTTCTAATCTTCTTTTAAGCGCGCGGATTAGGATGCTTTAAACCTTAACCAGTAACACGATGCAGGGGTCCCACCACCCGACACCAGCTTTCACTGACAGGCGGTCCCAGAGGCAGCGCATGTAGTAGTACTATTACTACTCCGGAAAAAGAGTCCTGGCAGCCGTTGGAAACGTTCGTTACCAACCGTAAAATTTTGCATGTGTCACTGACAGCTTGTCCCCGAAGTATTCTGGCCCCACCAGCCGGCGTCAGGGGCTCATCGGATGTCGGTGTTGGATTCCTTTTCCTGTGGGCCCCCGCGCTGCACTGTTCCTCTGTCTGTCAGTCACTTGCGCTGTGTGCTTCTGCTCGGGCTCAAAGTCGTCAGCTTTTTCTGTGTCTTCCCCTCGCCGTCTCGCGCCTGAGCCCTGAACTAGACAGACCAAGCCTCTGTCTACCAATGGAGGCCTGAGTCTTAGAGGCCGGATTTGGTCGTTGGAGAGAGAGAGAGAGAGAGAGAGAGAGCGAGCCGAGCCTGTGCGGTGCGGCGACGCCTGCTCCTCTTCGCTCGCGCGCGGCATTCCGGTCGTGTTTCTGAGGTGATTTTCCTCGTTAGATTTTTGGCGTAGTGTTTGGTGCCTTGTTGATGGCTTCGTGTGGAATGGTGTAGTTTGGTCGTCAGATTCGTGTCTGCTCATACTTGGCCCCGTTCTGCTCGGCTTCTGGTGGTTCTCTAAGTTTTCTTCGTTGTCCTCGGCCTCTGGTGGTTTCTTGTGCTGGTTGTTTGCTCGGGCAGTCGGGCCTGTGTGATTTTCTGCCGCTGCATTCGCATCACCTTCTCCCAGTCTGTGCCCTGTGCTAGTGTGCTACTCTCTCTACTGAGCTCTCTCGCCTTTCCGCGTTCGACATTCTCTTCCAGCTTTGTCTCACGCTCGCAACTGGTTTTCCCGGTTATTTCGGGTGCGTTGTTGCCTTTTTGTTTTGTTCAGGAAGGGGAAAAAGAAATGTTGTTTGAGGTTTGGATCTGCGTACTGATGTCTGATGAGCTGCTCTGTAACAGGATCCGGATTGCACGGTGTTCGGGCTGTTTCGTCAACCATGGGGAAGTCTCCGGCGAAGTGGATCAAGTCTGTGCTCCTCGGGAAGAAATCAGCCAAGTCCAACTCTACCAAGGCCAAGGATTTGGCGGTAAGTACTTCTTTGTGTTTGCTGCTCCGAATTCGTGGTAAAAGATGATATCTGTTTCCTCGCAAAAAAGAAAAAAGATGATATCTGTTTCCCTGTAAAAAAGAATTATCTGTTGGTAGCACGAAAAGAGAAGTCAGAAGTGTATCTATTTAAATTTTTCAAAGAAGTAATCGACTTAAAGTAAGATACTAAGGCTTGAAATTGCCATTACGGCTCCTGGACTGGATTGTACAATGAAAAAGTTGCGTATGGGTATGGGTGCCTTTTATATGAAGCATTGCAGCATTCTTTTTTGTTTTATCCATGTTGTAGGTCTGTAGCATACTTTGATTCTTCCTCCTACTTTCACTGATTGGTTGGTTGAATCACAATTTTGTTGCTGATATATAGAAGGCTGCAAATAACAAGCCTGTGCTTTCTGAGGATCCCCCTGTGATTTCTGAGCCAGCTCTTGTTAATTCTCACAACGATGGAAATGCTGAAAATTGCAAGTTACCAAACGGAGTTGCAGTTGAAGCCATGGGTCAAGGAGTGGAGAACCAAAACATTGTTGGCTCCAAGGCACCAACTAGTCCAGAGAAACTAAGCGAAGAGCTAGCTGCAGTGAAGGCACAAGCGGCCTTCCGAGGTTACCTGGTAACACCTTTTGCTTGGACTGATCCATTTTGTTCCTGCCATCTTGCCTCTTGTTAATGCACTTTTGATCTGGAGCTCTCTGCAAATGTTGCTGCTAGCTTGTCCCAAACCTTTCTATAGTTTTATGGGGTCATCGTTTTTAAAAGTTTCAGAAAAGGAAACATAAACAGCCAGCCCTGCAGAAAGAAAATTTGTGTCCTAAAAAACTGATGAGTTGGCTGTCTGATCTATACCTAAACATTAGTAACTGCTGACACATTAGCACCTCTTCGTTTTCTTTTGGAAGTTATAGAAGAACTGATCAGATAATATGTCCCAGGCTTTTTGAAGTTATATAATTTGCCATTGTTTTGGACCTTTGGTGCAGGCACGTAGGGCATTCCGTGCATTAAAAGGTATCATAAGACTCCAGGCACTGATCCGAGGACATCTTGTAAGGAGACAAGCTGCATCAACCCTTCGTGTGACATGGTTGATCGTGAAACTTCAAGCTTTAGTTCGTGGAAGAAATGTTAGACTCTCCGGTGCTTCCATTCAATTTGTTGTGAAGTCCGGCCAACATAAGTTTCTGGTAAGTATCTTGACATGTGGCAGTTCAAATATTTGATTTCTTGTATCCTTCCCTGCTTTTCTACCTGTTCTATTTGTATTATGTTAAACCTCTGTTTCAAAGAATGAATGTATGCAATATTGAAAGCAATGTAATTAGTCTGGCAAACTGAAACTTTTTTTTTGTCGGGACGGCCAAAGGTAGGCCGGCCAATTTCATTAAGATTGGGGGAAACAAAGTTTTAATTACAACGAGGCAAACTGAAACTTTTCACACACACTTCAGACATCTCTTCAGTGCTGCATAAAATCAGTAATGACACATGTTCAGAACTACAGATCTTTTGGCTAAACCCCAAGATGGACATATCAGCCAAGTAACATTCAGTACGCCCCAGAAAATAGAGAATTAGCTAGATACTAGTATTTACTGGTGGTTGATGATTATTATTATGTACCTGGATTTTTATAAATAGCATGGCAATAATGTTAATTCTGTGCATATCTCTATCATATTGGTACTTGGTACAATGTTTCGTCATTGTTGTGGGAGCAAGTTCTGGTGTATTATTGTATTGTACTAGGTTGCCCTTTATTCTTTAACTTAATTTTCTACTTGATTTGTGGTTTGTTCTCACAGATCATTAACTACCTTCATGTGGTCATATTGCAACTGAAAACAATACTCCCTCCGTTGCATATTATAAGGTGTTTTAGTTTTACCCTAAATCAAAGTTCTCTAAATTTGACCAAGTTTATAGAAAAATAATTAATGTCTACAATACCAAATAAATAGACTATCAAGAAATATTTCATGGCGGATTTTGTTGAAACCAATTTGATGTTGTAGATGTTGGTGCATTTTTCTATTAACTTGGTCAAAATAGAAAAGTTTGACTTGGACAAAACTCAAAGCCTTACAATATGGAACGGAGTGAATACACACTTTCTTTTGGTATTCTTTTATTCAAACATTAAATACCTCCCTAACTATCCTATCGAATAACCCACACCGTTCCCTTCAACACAATATAGAAATGCAAACTGTCTTTTCAAAACTATAAATGTCGAAGCTTTTCATCAGATAGGTGTCTTTCATACTCAAAAGTTTACAATTAAATATTTACCTTGTTATCCTGATTGAGTATGGAGGTAAATCTGCTGAACTACAGTATAACTTAAATTGCATACATCATGGAGCATGCATTTATATTTTCTTTTCATGATTCCTACTAAATGTATGACCCATATGCAATATTTTCTGCTTGATGTCTTTATGTGGCCAAAAATCTAAAACATGTTCTGTTTGCAATTATTAGAGTGATAAACCATCGGACGCTTGGAAAGAGAAGGTATCTTCAAACGCATATGTTCGAAAGGTATGCCATTTGTTTTAAAAAAACAAGACTTACCAGTGAGATTTGCTGTATGTCTAAAAAAGGTGTCATGATCCTGCTCATTTCATCTATGAGAAATGCATGAGCCCAAATCAAATCGCTCACCATTTATACATTTCAGAGGTGTGCTCACTCACTTTTGTACATTTTGTAGCTTCTATCTTCATCAATTGGGTTAGAAGCTCTTCACTTGCAGTATGACAAGAGGGACCCCAATTCATTGTACAACTGGTTGGAGAGATGGACTATAAGCCAGATTTGGAAGTCCTCTTCCCAACCAAAAAAAGTTGCTGATGGCAAACCACAAGTAAGGAAGGCCAGTTATGCAATGGAAACTGAGTCAGCCAAATTAAAGCGCAATGTTCGGAAGAGTTCTGCTGTCACTGTTGATAGCTTCCAAACTAATATGACAGTTGAACCTGAAAAAATTAAACGAAATTCAAGAAAATTCTCTAGTTCCGCTGCTGATTCAGTACCAGATAGCCAGTTATCTGAACTTGAGAAGGTTAAGAGGAACCTTCGGAAGGTAACTAATTCCATGGCTGAAGCATCAAAGATATCTAGCTCCAGGGCAGATGCCTCAAAGGTATCTAGCTCCATGGCTGATGCCTCAAAGGTGTCTAGCTCCACGGCTGATGCCTCAAAGGTATCTGATTCCGTGGCTCAAATCCCACCTAGTCTCGTGAATGGGATCTCTGATCATCAAGACAACCAATGTGAGGAAGCACAACAGAATGCATGCGTGTCATTTCCTCCTGAAACTCAGGAGTTGCACAGTGGCATTCTGTTGGAGGACAATTCACATATGAATCTGTTGGAACCTGATTTAATATCTAACCCGGAAACTCCTTTCACTTCGATTTTAACCTGGGAAAAATTTAATGATTCTACTGCTGATGCTCAAGAAGTTGAAGTTCTGCCACTGCAGAACATTGATAATGAAGATAATTTCCCAGAAAATGGTGTCTTAGGAAAGAAAGAGAAGCCAAGGTCCAAGGAAGAACCTCTGTCTAATGGAAACCTTAAAACTAGCAAGAGGAGGTCTTCGTTCTCCACCAAATCAGATTACCCGGAAAATGGAGCCCAGAATACGCCAGTTCCACGAAGGAAGCCAAGCTATATGGCTGCAACAGAATCTGCAAAGGCAAAGTTGCGAGGACAGAATTCACCAAGACTGGATTCTGATTCACCAGCAGACATGAATGGCTTCACACGCCGCCAGTCTCTACCTTCTTCTACAAACAGTAAGTTGAACCCACACTCACCTCATACACAAGGACCAATCTATTTCAAATTTGACTAAGTCCATAGACAAATTAGTTTCATCAAATCAATAATTGAATATATTTCTAAAACTAAATTAGTTTTATCAAATCAATAATTGAATATATTTTCATAATAAATTTGTTTTGGGTTGAAAATGTTACTACTTTTTTCTACAAACTTGGTCAAACTTAAAGCAGTTTGACTTTGACCAAAGTTAAAACGTCTTATAACCTGAAACGGAGGAAGTAACAGTTATGAACTAAAAAGTGATAAATCCATGTTACCAGAAAAAAAATGTCGCTGTTAAACATTAAGCAAAGGTAACCATCTGAAAAGATAAGATGATGTTCTAGGCTATCAGAATGTGACAAATTTTGAGTAATGATAGCAAAAATGTTCACAGGGAGTTCATGGTATTATTCTATTGATCCCAGAAGAAACACAACTGTTTATTCCATGTTTAAAATACTCCCTTTTTTCTAGTACAACAGGGGCTTTTTGGGTAATATTAAATCTGAGAATAAATAAAAATGGTTGCACACATTGTATTTACATTCATATTCTGAAGTATTGCATGGATTATAAATCTGTCGCCTTGACTATGCATCTTTCTGAAGTTCTGCAACTACCATATTCTACATAGTCGCACCGGGTGGCCTATTGCCACATTTGTTAGCATTGTATGTACTTGTGTTATTTAGGCTTTTACTGACGTTAGAATGGATCTGTTTGCATCTGATCAGTTTAAAATTCAGACTTCACAGCTCATGAGCCAACATTCAGTTTTTCCTTTTCGTTTCTGAATTCTGATGTCCCATTTTGCTTGTTTATTTTTTATTTTTACCATCTATCAGACAGAGCGATCAGAGCTGAATGGAGACGGTGGTGAGGACAACCAACTTCCATTTGAACGGTGCAACGTTGTGGTGGATGAAGTGCCCTGCTGTCCGTGAGATTGTCGCCATTGTTTTGTTCAAGATGTAAAAATATGTTGGCCCTGTGTTGATCTATTATCTGTTGCATATTTGAGTTGTTAATTTATTATCCATTGTTTCTTGTGCAATGTCTTGTTCATAGCTACATCTTACTAGTTTCGGGCATATGCTCTCGTTTCCACCCAAGGCACCCTGCCTGATAAATGGTCAGGGGGCTGATGCCCTAAGCGTGTTTTAATAGAACGGCTTCATCCTACTTTCATGCTTTCCCAAGTTCCCTTTGTGCTAACACGTACTCTATCCGTTCCTATAAAATATAAGATGTACTTATTTTATGGAAAATCAATATTTTAAAATTCTAAGTAAAGAGTAAACTATGTGTTGACAGAAAACACGAGGCCTGGGAGATTTGCTTAACTCCAGTGCAGGTCCAAAGCTCGCCTTTGACTCCACCTTGATCTAATCTCTTTTTCCGATGCTGATATTACCAAATTTGGTCGTTAACACATGTCCCCCAAGTCCGGGATATTTGATAATGTTCCGGATTTGCTGTGTACCGACTCCGAGCAAGTTTCGCACTCTGCCGTTTTTTTGACCGTTATTCTATCGCTTTAAATACCAACCGTTGCCCTCAAAAAATCTCACGCCGTGACTTCCGTTTTCACCGCTCAAGTGAAACTTTGTCCTTTCTCTATCCGGCGATTCCTCCGACGTAAAAGCAATCCCCAGGCGATTTCGCTTTTGATCAGATCTCCGTCTGCGGCGATGTCGTCTTCCACTAGCCCATCTACTGCGCCATCGGCCAAGTACGCTGAGGTAAGTTCTCACCGGCTAGATCCCTTTTCCTCGCATGAAATCGATTTCTCCTTTTCTCATTATGTTTTATGCTCCCCGATTCCTTTGGATTTGCAGCACCTTTTCAACCTAGTTGCGATTCCCAGCCTATCGCACAAAAACCACTATTTTCTTGGCCCAATCGGCAATCTTGACCCCACTGATTTCATCATTGGTGAAACCAATAGAATCCCCTTTAGACTAGCCAACCCTAACTTGGGTCACTGGAAGAATACCTTCAAGTCTTGGCCATCTCTCGAAAAGCCTACCCCTGATAAGAGCTGGACCACCTGGTACCAACGCATATCGGCTAGTAAGAAAGCCCACTGGGATGAGATTGGGATCGGCCAAGCGCTTGCTCTCACCATAGCCAATTCTTCTAAGGATGAACCTCTGATGGCTGCCGCCACCTATTTCTGGTCCAACACCATCAATGCCTTCTTATTTAACCAAGGGCCGATGACTCCAACTTTGATCGACATCATCATGATTACTGGATTAGATGTAACTTCATCGGCTAACCCTATGAGTATGAATACCAAGAACCAATTTGACTTCAAGACCAAAAGCATAGGAGGGTGGTCTGGTTATGTAGCGGCATACATGGGCAAAGGGCCTGTCACTCCTCGGGAGCACGTAGCTTTCTTGCTAATGTGGCTAGAAAAGTTTCTCTTCTGTGGATCCAGCTGTGGTCCCACAACCAATTGGCAATTTGTAGCCGAAGCCTTAGGATCAAAGAAACAATTTCCCTTGGGCAAAATCCTTCTCAGCTATCTATACCAAATGTTGAACAATGCATCGGCTAAGATAGCCGTCGGCTCAATAGTTGGAGCAGGTGGACCATGGTGGCTACTGCAGACCTGGCTAAACCTGGTAGTCATGAAAGTTGTCAATCGGCCATCTGTAACAGACGCTGAATTCCCACGGTTGGAACCAATTGTAGAAGACGATGGAGAAGAACGCACCCATCGCGGATGCATGTCATATGGAGAATATGCATCCACACCAGCCGATGCTGGGGCAAAACTATCGGCTGAGCTGCTCAAAGATTGGTTCTGTAGCTTTTATGAAGGCTTCCAGAAAGATGCCCGGGTTTGGTTTCTTTATGAAGACTCAGCAAACCTTGAGCTCCCATTAGACTTCAGATTTGAAGACATCAATCATGAAAGATATCAAACGCCCAGGGAAGTCTTTATAGCTGCAATCAGCCCATGCATCCTACCTGTCGGTATTCACCAAGGAAGAAATATCCAAGTCTCCTACGAATTCTATCACCCTATAAGTTCAGTTAGACAACTTGGATTTGGCCAACTCCCAATCGGCTTAGTCTTTGCTGACAAGATCCAATGCCGAGGAGAAATTTCTTCAACTCTAATGATGGATCGACTGCTTAACCTCCAAGGACCCCCCTTAGGCAGTATCGACAATATTGAGTTAGCAGGATTCAGGAGCAGGAACTTTGACAGATGGTGGGGTGAATGGAAGTTGCATCTATTTCATCAATCGGCCACAATGTACATGACAGATCTATTCCCTGACATCATACCCCAGGTAAACTTTGTCATCACTAAATTTCATAACGGTTAGCTAATTCATTACTTGACTAATCTTTTGTTCCTGTTTTGCAGACAACAAAGTCCTCCCCTCCACATCAGAGCAATAGTGGTAGAAACATTGAATATGCCCCAGGTCTGATTCCTAATGGAGGCGAATTGTCTCCCCCAAGGTCTCAACCCTCCTCCAAGGCGCCATTAGGGAACCAACCGATGTAACCAAGAAAAGAAAAACTAGATCATCGGCTATGAACACCTTGACTCTAGTTCCAAAGAAAAAAGGCCAAATCTAAGAAAACCAAGCCAACCGACGACCTGCCTGCTTTGGATCCATCCATTGAACATGCTCTGGATGAAGAAGATATTGAGGATGATGTTGATCAGGCTACAGCCGAAGCAAGTGATACTGAAAAAACACCATCGGCTTCGCCTAAGCAGATACCTTCAACTCCTTCTGCCCCCACTCACTTCTTCAGAGTAAAACATCTTTCCTTGCAAACCCTTTTATAATCATTATTTTTCAGCTGACTACTCATAGGTTTTGTAGTTGCAGAAGAAGAAAACTGCTATAAAGAAGAAATCGGCAGCACCAATTCTCAAACCAGCTCCACCAGTAAGACACTCTCAATTTTACTAGTTGATTTCAGCCGATTTTGTCTAACACTTGTCTTTTTACAGCCTCCTCCTCCTCCTTCTTCTCCTGTACAACAATCATTGAGTGACTGAACTCCATCGGCCGTGGGGAGTCATCATATTGTGGAAGAAGAACAACCGGCTGCTCCTGCTATCCCAGTAAGCTTTCCTTTAATGCAAGAATTTAGATCGACTATATTGACTTAGCTCTCAAACTTTCTGAACTTATACCTGCAAGTTCTAGCCGATCTCTTTTCTTTTGATATCAAAGATTATCTTGATGAGGCAGAAAAAGATACTTCAAGCAAAGCTCTAGCTCCCTTATCTGATGATGCAAAGAAAACACTGGAAGATATCTCGCGTCGGCTAGAGGCCTCTTCTCTGGATAGCTTAGTGGTCGACTATGGATCGATTAGGACACGATTGCACGAAGTTCAAGCTCTAATTCCTGAAGAACTGGCCGATGTCCTAACTCTAGCCACTTATCTTGAGCAACATCAATTTAAACTAGAAAAAGCCAAGCTAAGATTAGCCGAACGCCGTGAGCGCAAGGAGATTGAAGCCACAATCCAAGTCAATCGGCAGCTTGTGCATGAAGAAAAAGTCAAACTCGATCAACTATCCGAAGGTCCGATCAAATCCAATATCGATCGGCTTGAAGCCCGCAAGATCAAATCCAATATTCTCTTGGCACAGCTTGAAGAATGCAATGCTGAATTGGATATGGAGCACAAAAAACTAGCCGATCTCCCAAAATTTGTCGAATAGCAAAAAGCAAGGCTCAAATCGGCTATCAAGAATGTTGCTGACCTAACCAAGTTCCTGAAGATCATTTCTGGGACTGATGCTCAAGATGCCCAAGCCATTGAAGAAGTCGAACAAATTAGGCAAAGAACTATTTCGGCTATCCAGCAGTACTTGTCTCAATAACTTTTGTGTAATCGGCTAAGATACCTTAATAACAATCCTTTGTGCCGATTAACATAACTTCTAATTTTCACTTTCATTTTTGTATTTATGTGCCCAAGCCATTGAAGAAGTCGAACAAATTAGGCAAAGAGCTATTTCGGCTATCCAGCAGTACTTGTCTCAATAACTTTTGTGTAATAGGACTTAGAAATTCTTGTAATCGGCTAAGATACCTTAATGACAATCCTTTGTGCCGATTAACATAACTTCTAATTTTCACTTTCATTTTTTTTTGTATATATGTGCCTCCCAATTTTATAATGTCAACAGCATTGATAAAATTAGAAAAACAACTAAGGGCGATATAACAATATTGGCCGTTATATATCGGCAAACCATAACTGCTTACAATTGGAAAAACGACTAAGGGCGATATAACAATATCGACCATCTCAAGACTATGTAAAACACATCGGCTGTCATGCATTAGCAACACTAGCCGATTATGCGTCAACCCAAACACTTCGGTAATACTTCTTCAAGTATTTGCCATTGAGCGCTCATCCATAAACCTCACCATCAAGCCCTTGCAACATATATGCCCCTTTAGACACAACTTTATAGATTTGAAACGTTCCTTCCCAATTTGGTGACCACTTGCCGAACTTGTTATCCCGAGTTCCAATCGACAAAATCAACTTCCATACAAGTTCACCTTCCGAAAAATCCTTAGGCACTATTTTCTTGTTATGATGCCTAGCTACTCGTTCCTTATCTTTGGTAACCTTAGCAAGGGCTCGTAAACGCCATTGAACCAAGTCCTCCCTCTCATCGGCCATAAGGTTATAATACTCATCGGCTGTCAAACCGTCTTGCAATTCTATCCTTCTAGAGCCGATTCTAACTTCCCATGGCAAAACAACTTCATGTCCATAAACAAGCTTATAAGGAGGAACTTGAATTGATCCATGACAAGCCATCCGATAAGACCACAATGCTTTGGCCAACCGAGTATGCCATTGCCGAGGATAATTAGAAATCTTCCGCTTAATTAATTTGATCAAGCTCTTGTTAGATGCCTCGGCCTGCCCATTAGCTTGTGCATAATATGGTGAAGAATTCAACAATTTGATACCCACGCTATCGGCAAACCGAACAAACTCATCGGACACGAAGATTGAACCTTGATCAGTTGTAATAGTTTGAGGAATACCAAATCGGTAGATTATATGTTCTTGAACAAATTGAATTGCATCCACAGAATCAACTTTCTTCAAAGGAATGGCCTCCACCCACTTGGTGAAATAATCAGTCGCCACCATACTGA